CGAGACTGTACAGTGATAGGAATGCAAGACCATACGACTGCCTCTACCACTCTACGACTATACCATCACCGTGCGAGACTTCGAGTGTACGACTCTTCGACTGCACCCTACGAGATGTACGACGACTGAGACTGCAGCCACGGGAAGGGGGCCACGGTTACGATGCCGACCCACGACGACGACTACCACCACCTTTACTGCTGCTTTTCGTTTTCACCGCAGGTCTTTGAGGCAACCAGACCAGCTTGGCCTCTCAGCCCAGCCCGTTTTCATTCTGCTACCTTCCGATATTGCTGGAAGATGTTGGGGCTTGGGTTAACTTCTGCTATATACAAACTTGCCACTCAGTAGCCGCGCTACTGACTAAGGTCAATGGTGCCCCACACCTCTGCAGCTGAGGCTTTGCCAAAGCCTCGGCTATCTCTGGCCACCTCCGCAGCGGCCGCCGCACTGGATGTGGCGGAGCTTTCGCCAGTCGCGACTCTGCCGGCAGAGTGATGTTGGGTTTCGGGGTTAGGGTTTATGGATTCCAATGTAGTATGCAACATGAATAAAGCCATCACCTTCAAATAAGCAAAACAAAGCAACGAACGAGACGGTATGCAGCGCTGAGACATGGCCCCTGCCGATGATTGAGCCAAGAACTGCTCAGCAAAGCCGTGAGGCATCTCCATTCCGGATGCCGTTGAGGCCGGCTTGGAAGCCAGGCACGGTTTTGCTTCCAACACTTCGCCCAAGGGATGTTGTATTACGCCCTAGCCCTAGAATCCTTAGAAACCCACTGCGTTGCGGCATTCGTAGGAGGACTTGTCTCATGTCGCACACGTCTTCAAAGACTATGCTGGATCAGAAACTGAACTGAGTAGCAGATTTAGGGCCTTCTGCCCCTTGGTTGCATCGCATGGGCCTGCATGGTATCGGAACAACACGAACATTCATGGGCCTCGGCAGTTCGTGTCTAGGCTAGATGAACCTCAAGCCCAATCCCATCCAATGCCTCAAACCGTAACCCTAAACCTTAAAGCCAAAATCGCATGCCCAAGCCCAAAATTCAAAAGTCTGAGCCCTCTTTTGCTGGTCTCTGCCGTAAGTTACAGGCATTGCACGTCACTCAGACGGAATATATACTGTTTCTGATTTTGCAACCAGGGGGGTGGCTTGATGAGGGCCCTAATTCGAAAGCCCCAGCCGGACCCCAGCAAGGCAGCGCCACATCCTGCGGTTGATCCCTTTGTCAAGGCTCGACCCTTTGTGGGTTTTTTTACTGTTTGGTGTTGTAGGTATAGAGAACATAGAAGATTCAGGATTTTGGGAATTCTCGAAATGGTTCATCGGATCGATGACCACCCCAAGCTATGCCTCAACCGTGGCCCTACCTTCTACACTCCTCAGCCCTTAGCCTTACAATCCACTCAAACTCAACACAGTGCGCTCTACACCCTGCGTTCAGACCCCGCAGCCCAGCATGGCATCGCGGTGTTTCGGCTCGAGGCCCACGAGCGGCTGTAACCGAACCGAATTTCAATATCCTTTTCCCCCCTCTCCCTCCCCCCCCCCCGCCACACCCCGAAACCGAAGGCCTGCACTCGGAACCCTGCACTCCTAGCCCCAGCCCTCAACTCGCCAAACCCTACAAACCCTAAGTCGTTTCCGAATCCCTACTAGTAATTCTCTAAGCCCGGAGGCTGAGCCGGTTTCGTGCTTAGGGGTTGGTACTTCTCCCTGCTTCGCACGATGGCGCCCACCGGCACTTTCTTTGTCACCTTTTTCTCCCTGGTTGCTGCGGCTGCACATGAATGCGGCAGCGAAAGTGACTCGGGAGGTTGCGTTCAAAGGAGGTTGTGGGTAGACTTGGAGCTTGGTTTAGGGCTCGGGTCTTGTGTGCAGTATAGTATGTCTAGGTAGGACTAATTGTTTGTGAATGTGTGTGTGTGTAGGTGTTATGGGTCTAGGGTTCTTTAACCGGGTTCAGCTTGACAGCTAGTTCGGTGGCGCATGGTGGTCGTAAGGTTGATGCGGGTCCGCGTGGGCCCGGCGTTGGCTGCACGAGCGTGGTGCTTCCAAACTGTAGACCCTGAAACGATGAGTCCCCAAAAGCCCCTAAGCCCTAAGCCCTACACCCTTAGACCCGAACCCAAAGCCGCACACCTGCTACACTGTTGCTTGTCTAGCTGGGGGGCCAGCCGAAGATAAAACCATGAGAATCAGAAGCTTGCAGCTTTAAGCCACTTATGTCCAAAGTTTGCAACCCCCCTATGCGTGTCGATTCTGAATTAACGTCCAGAGTCCATTATCTCGGTATAGAGCCCCGCTGTTTCGGGAGAGCAGTTCTGTATTAGGGCATTAGGGTTTATTAGAGGGGTTTGAGAAAGAGCTTTCGGTGGTTAGCTACAATGGCAGTTTTAGCTTTCAATCACTCCCTGGCCAGTCGACAAAACCTTACAGTGGCACATGCTGAACAGAGCACGAAAGCAGGGAAGTCCTAAAGTTTTCAAAGCTAAGGCGATATAGAGATTAGTGGCGTGAACTTCTTGCAGATGAATGCAGCATCCCTTGCGCAGCCTGTCAGCTAAAGCTGCTTTTGCAGGCTTCAGGTCCTCCACTGCAGACCCCCTGCCCTAAACTCAAAACCCCAAAGCCCTGAACCGCAAACCCTTCTAAACACTGAGCCCGAAGCCCTGAACCCCTAATTTTAGACCCGAAGACGCCTGGAATCCTAATCCTCTGAACTCAGAAACCGAAAGCGCTCATCCAAGCCCTCAAACCTTCGCACTAGACACTGGGTCACTAGGCCCGACGTCCTATGCGTTATGTCCTCGATCCTGCAACCTCAAACTTAGATCGAAATACCTTTCCTAGCTAGCTCTTCCGGACATTTTACATGTTCCTTATTGGGCCTAAGCGGATTTTACTTACGAACATTGTTCAGCTCGGCTTCAAAGGGGTGACCTAGTCCTACACCTTGACAAAGACTTACTTAAGATGAGCCGACGTGTGCGAAGAACGGTCTTGGCAGGATGCATAGCTGTAGCAGTTCGCAGTCGTCGGTTGGATGCTGCGGTTTTTACGGCATGGATAGGCTTGCGAATTTAGGGTTCACAGGCTTTGGGCTTGAGGGTCCCGGAGATTGTATCTTATGGGCGTAGGAGTTAGCTGTAGCACGGTCTTGTTCTTGTCCCTGGGTTGCCCAATGCTTCACCCGAAGAGCCCTGCGACGAAGCAACAAGTAATTCTGGCAAAGACCATCGACATCTGGAGTTTGTATGCAGTTGTTTGACATTCCCGTCATCCTCCCCCGAAACCAGCATAACGCCCCATTTACCGCGAAGCTGAGCATGTGCTGCAACTGTAAAAGTTCGAGTTGTCTCGCACAGCAATGCACAATGCTTCAAAGGATATGGTTCCCTAGAATCAGGAATATGGAGAGGGGAGGTTTCGTGAAGTTTCCACACAAGCCTCAGACGTGTCAACCACCCGGCACCCGTAGGACGAAGCTTATACGCTACCACAGGCTACTTCGCACAGTTTTCCTGCAAAGTCTTCCTAACAGTGTATCTCAGAACCCTGCAAGAAGTAAGTTGTTGCAGTCTACGGAAGATTTCAGATCCCAAAACCCAGTGCCACTGCAAAAATGCTCAGGCCCGCATCGCAAGGAGAACAGTGCCTCCGCTTCATGCACATCCCTAAGCTTCTTGGCATGCAGAGGGAAGCCTGAGAGCCTTTTGCGGATGTCCTCCTCGCCCTCATCACTATTTATCACCATGATCTGTATCATCTCAACCGTCATCAGCGTGGCAGCAACAGTGTCGACATGACCATCGTGCTATCACCCGCATCATCAAGACTACCACTCTCATCATCGTCACAAGCATATCATGATCAGCGTCATCACCAGCACCACCATCATCACCAACAGACAGGGCCCCAAGCTCATCAAGGTTTTCGTACGTGCATGCATGCATATACATAAGTGCATGATACATGAGTATATAACCAGGTATAAAGCTATATACATATATATATATATACACATACATATGCAAGTTACATTCACACATCGGTACGTACATATACATCTACATATGCATTATGTACTCATGTACATCTGCATCTACTTCAATGCGTAGATAGTTTTACGATATATGAAGATAAGTTATAAAAGAGTACAGACTCATATTATGTCTCGTCACAATATGTGTTTTACATGTAACAAATCTATGATTCTATCTCTGTATAATGTACTTGTGTATGTTCGTCTGTATGCATGCGTGTCTGTATGTATTTTCGTATGTATGTATGTGTGTATGTATGTGTGTAATTCTGTATGTATGCACGTATGTATGTATGGATGTAAGTAGGTACGTATGTATGTGTGTATATATATATATACACATATATATATATATATATGTATGCATGTGTCTGTGTGTACATACACATGCATAACCGAGGACAGGAGGAACCAGCATCGACTCGGCCGCACAGCAGAGACTTCATGGTTCTTAGAATTTGCAGCCCTGAAGCCAGGAGCATGAGCCCCGACTCTGGCAGCTCGCACAGTGCGGAATATTGAGCTCGACTAATTAATAGTGCACTTGAAGCTCCGCTTTCCTGCAAGATACCAGTGAGGCTTTCTTCGGTTTAGGGGCGTTCAAGCTTGAGAGTGTCCGGCTCAACACCCCAAACTTAAATCCTGCACTCCTTAAGCTCGACGTAGCTCGATCTTCCCCAGGACGCAAAAATTGAAGTTTGCGAACGTTGTTTCCGTACTACGTGCATGACACCGGCACCGTACCTAAAATGTTCGGGCATAGGGCGCATGAGCCTTTAGGGCTACTTGTATCGGCGTCTTTGTAGCATTGTAGGCAACAAGCAGAAGCTAGGTACTAGTAACAGGCACATGTAGTACTCGAAGTAGTGCCAGTAGTGGTGGTCGCGGCAGTGGTGGTAGTTGTGGTTGTGATGGTTGCGGCACCACTTCCCCACAGCCGAAGGCCAACATGCACCTTCCAGCGGGGCAACGGGCCTTCGACTCCCTCATGCTGGAAACCTTCCTGCGCGTTCAAGAGCACATGGACGGTGTAGAGGCCGATAGCTGGCATTCTGGGATCCGTTCTGGCACGCCGGTGTGGACAACAGGGTTTTGTGCGGCATAGACTACTGACTAGAGTTTTCCAGCGATGGGGTTTAGAGCATAGAGGTTCGCAGCGGCGGATAGGTTCGGAGGTTTTAGCAATTGGGGTGTAGGCTTTGATGGGTTGAGGTTGAAGATTAGCGATATCCGGGTTCTGGATTTTGCTGTTTAGTGTTTGCTTAGGGCTGAGGGTTCACCAAACATGGAGCCCCCAATAGTGGCCACATCCTTTCGTACCCTACGGTGGCCTCTTTCCGGTGTCATGTGAGCCTTGTGGAGACCTACTGATCCTCTTCAGCTTCACCCCCCAAACCTCTTCACAGAGAACCCAAAGCTTTGCAGCCCCTTAAAGTTGGAAACCGGATTAAGGCCAAATAGTGGGTTCCCTCTACGTTACTCTTAAGGATTGAGGCTATTGGGTTTCCAACTTTTGGGCTTCTACTGTAGTTGGCAGTGGGCCCCTCGTAAGTAGCAGGCAATAGGGTTGAAGCAGCTTCTTTACCACTTTAGGTCAGAGCATCTCCAATGCAAGGACCTTGGGAAGCTTTACGACGATGCGCATCATGGCCGTCTGACGCTTCTTGGCCAAAAGAAGGTTGAGCTTTGGGGAAATCCACGGGTAAGTTTAGGCCTGGGAATTCGTAGGACGTTAGGAGCTGTGGGTTCAGGGCTCAGGGGCTGGGCAGCTCTTTGGAACTCTTCGGCAACCTGAGCAGGTATGGCGTCTTCATCGCCGAGCACTTGTCGGATTACCGCTGGCTGCCGGAAGATGCGGCAGATAAGTGTGAGGCGCCGCTCGCGACAGGTGTATGCGTATACCACGTATACCTCTCCGCGCTAACCTGAATAGACCATGAACAGTAACTGGTGGCTGCAGCAACGTGGCACACCCGGGCCAACAACAGCCACCAGCATTGTGGCGAGAGTTGTTTTTTCGATTTTTCAAGCTTCCAACCCAAATCGTAAACACTGCCCGTTGTGAACTTCGACCCTGATACTAACTTTGACATGGTTTCTGTTCAGCGCTGTCGGTTGTATAAGTATTTTGCGACCAGTTGCCCACACTTTGTTTCTTGTTTGGTTTTCCTCTCCTCAGTGTGTTCAGCTCATCGCCTACATGTAGCTCAGGGTACACTACGCGGTTCTTGTTCCCTTCGCTTACTCTTTAGCTCACTTTCATTTCTCTGCTGGGCTTTCGGGTGTCTCTGGGCGTAAAACCCGATGCGAAGTCTGTTCTCAGTGATAAAACTGATTCGGAAAATCGAAAAGTAATGTGGCCATTGGATGTTATGTTGTCCTTTCTTCTCATGTGCCTCGCCTCAACCCTTCTGTATAATTAACGTAACATCGTTAAACTTCCGGATGGCCCTTTAGCTTAAAATTCGTGTGCGCTGTGGCTCTGTGATGTCTTCTGTTCTCATCCTTCGAATACTTTGTACTACCTCCTTCTTCTTTGCTTCGTAGTCGTTTGTAGATACTAGGTTTGGCTCCTTTCCCATCTTTGCGCCCGTTTAATCATACCACCCGCCAAAATGCGTCTTTGCCTTTTCCTTTGAAATGAACCTATATACATGCGTAAAACTTGTCGAAGACACAGAAACCATCAATATTTCTACACTTTGTACTGTCGGTGATTAGTTAGCAAAGAAACACATGGATTTAATATTGCGGGGCGCCGACACTGCCGACACTGCTCTGACCTCTTGCCATTTTTGATATTCAGCAGTCCTACTGTTGGTGAATACTGTGCGCTGGTTGGTGTTGTTATTTTTTGGGGGGCTTCTGCTGTGGTTCTGAGGTCACCATATTATCTAGCTCTACCAGAATATGCAGCCTTTGTTTATTTATGAGGTTTGCCACGTGTCATGTCTACGGTTCCTTCTCATTAGCTCTCTCTCTAAGGTAAACAGGTAAAGAGGTTCCCTGGGGTGTCCAAGTGCCCCTGAAGCACAAGTCTGTGAAACCCCCAAACCCTAAACTCCAACAGAGCCTAGCACCAAACCAGACACCCTCAAAGTGTTTATTCAATGCCGAACTCCAAACCCTATTGCTTTTAAGCCGGACCAATTCTCCTGCACAGGATTTGCACACGCCGCCATCCCGTAGTGTGCCGGCAGCAGTGGCTACCCCATGCTTCCCCCCTACCGTATGCTTCCGGATTTGTTTTTGGTGAGGCTATCCTCTGGGTTCAGGGCCGTATTTCAGCAAAGAGGCACCACGAGGAGCCTCTCCTGGCTTCCCGTTACTATAATGAGGAAGCAATGTTATCCACACAAAGCTGCGATCATGGCAAACTACACGAAGCTACTTACCGAGAGCCCATGGATAGCTACACTGGCCATGTTCCATGCTTCGGCTTTGGGGATGTTACATATCCTCGATCATCTGCTAGACATGGCCTCTCGCAGGGTTCCACGCCTGCGTTGCTGGAGCTTCAAGTCTGCTGGGGTTGGGGTTATAGGTTTGGCAGGGCAAAGACTGAGAGTTGGATCTTGCGCCTGCTAGAACGCTGTCCGCGAAAAGCATTGCGCGCATGTTCCAGCTTGCGCCTGCCACGACTATTTGGGTTGGGTGTTGACGGCCTACTCACGGGTCTTAGAAAGTTTTGTTAAAATGCAAAATTCATGATTGGCCAGCGTTCAAGACGCACCCGTTCGGGATCAGACCAGACATGTTTCATGAAGACCACCAGAAGCCACCGTTAGACTGCATTGCTCCATGGATGCATTGCGGAGGGCTGACAAATTGCAGCATTCTCGTTTTAGTCCCTGCACAAGTGTACTAGAACACGCTCCCCCATACCCCAGATGACATCAAGGTAAAGCTGCTCCCCGAATACTCCTGTGCACGAGGGCGGGTATAGGAGCTTATTATGTCAATTGAGCATGAGGTGCTGGGTCTGTTATGCTATATCAAGTATCAGCGGGCTCCAAAAGGAAAGGGATAGCAATGCTAACCAGCCAGAATCCTGCGGTTGATTGAGACTCGCATCGACCAAGCAGTTGAGCACTTCCTCGGACAAGCTGCAGCTCTCATCCGAGGTCCTTAACCTAGATTTTTGTACACTTAAACCCGAAACCCCAAAACTCTGCCACCCAAGGTTCGGACATTGCGCTCTGGTACCAGGACTTGACGACAGAGGGCTTGTGAACTGGGGTTGAGAGGTAGGTCCATGTGATTTGAACTTATAGGGTTTACCACGAAATTTGCAGCGTAGTAGTTGCACATTCGGGTAGTGTGTTTGAGAATTGCTCGGCTGCAAGGGTCTTGATCTAAATCTCTTGTAAAGGGTCGGGGTCTAGGGCTCGTGCGGCGTTAGTGTTTTTGTCTGGATGTCGGACCTCACAGGACCGATGCCATGTACGCATATATGTATACATACACATACGTAGCTACCAACTCCCTGAGCCCTACCGCATAAACATCGCACACTCCACTTGTCACAGCTGCAGGCACGGCAGTGGTCGACAGCAGTAGTAGAAGAAGTAGAGGCAGCAGTAGTAGAAGCAGTAGTCGTCGTAGCAACAGCACCAGTGGTAGTGGTAGTGGTGGTAGAATTAGTGGCAGTAGTAGTAGTAGTAGTAGTAGTAGTAGTAGTAGTAGCAGTAGTAGTAGTAGTAGTATATAGTAGTAGTAGTAGTAGTAGCAGTAGTAGTAGTAGTAGTAGTAGTAGTAGTAGTAGTAGTAGTGGTGGTGGTGGTGGTGGTGGTGGAGGGAACTCAACCCTGTAGGAGCCTGGCTGCACGAATTTCTGCGTCGTGCGGGAGCCCCTAGCGCGGTTCTTCAGCGCCTTCAAGATGGTGTACCAGGACAAACACTGCTGCATGTAGGCTTAGGCTCACGGGAATTTCGCTCTATATATATATATATATATATATATACATACAGGCTGGCACTGAGAAAGCGCTCTTACAAAGGACGCTCTTTTGATGTTTTGCATTGACTACGCTTGTTTTGACTTGAACAGACATGCCTTCCCATGCTGTTCTAGAGCGAGGATTGTGTCAACGACGAAATGGTGATGAGGATGATGATGATGATGATGATACTGATCATGATGACAAATGCTGCTGTAAGCAACGAAGGTTAACCTATAGAGTCTACAGCGGATGCTGCGGCTACTGTTGGAGTCGCTGTACGTGCAGGTGCCGCCATGTTGATGGTGATTGTGCTGTTGGTTATGACTGTGCTTACTAGTATCCGTACAAGGCTAGCATCGCCGGTTAGCATGGACCAGGTGACATTGGTTAGAGTCACGGTTAGAGTCTAGGGTGATGCTGATGCTAGTGCTATTGGCTGACTTGTTCATGTACTTGATGCGCCACGTCAGCAGCAGCGCCTCTAGGTGAACTGATGTGAAATCATCTGTCTCCAAGTTATCTGTGTATACCACCTGCTTGTGCCCTGAGCTACAGCCGAAGTCCCGAGCCCGCCATCTGCCAAACGATATTCAGTGGCTCTTGAATGCCTTAGCCTCAGCCCATGCCAGTTCGAGGGTACACGAGAGCCTTGTGCGTGCAAGGTGTGCGAGAGCTTCCCGCTGAGGTTTCGGCAGTCAGACAGTCATAAGATCATAAAGGTCTGCAAAAACTAGCTCGACATCAGGATCTAGCTGTCTAATAACAGACAGTCATGGTAAGTTTACAGTATTGCTCTCCCGAAAGCCCGGTCTCCCAATAAGGCCGGGGAAACTTTCAATGATTATCGGACCACTGCCCCCCAGCTCTCCCGAGATTAGCCATTCTTTTGCGTCAAGGGTCACAATCAAAGGTCGTTGGGCTTGAAATCTTCATTAAAGCACGAGCCCTCAAAACCTGATAGGACGCTGTAGAAGCCCTGGCCCGAAGCCCTTGATGCGCATATGTATGTATACATATTATACATACGTATGTGCGTGTATATGTACATGTATATATGTATATACATATATGTATATATGTATGCATGTAAATTCGTACATGTACCATGCCTATTTGTTCATCTGTTTGTTTGTGCATGTGTGGAGATATTCCCCCATGTGTCGCTCACTCTCCCTCCTCTCTCTCGCTCTCTCCTGTTTGACAAGGGGTTTTCGGCGTCCCGATGATCAACGTGGCTTGGTTTGCTTCGCCTTGGCTGAGCTTGTATAGACTTCTTTTACATCTCCTGAATGTAGGTATTGATTCACCTCTGTCAGGCCTGTTTACATACACATTTGCATGGAGAGAATGCATATGCGTATATATGTATGTGTGTACACATATGCATATTTATACATATGTATGTATCTATATACATATATGTATACACATGATATACGCGTATATATGTAGCGTATGTATACACTTATACACATCCACCTGCCACTAGAGCCGTAAGAAGCTTCTTAGCAGGAGTGTGATCCACTTTCAGTCGAAAGCAAAACTCTTGAGCTCCTCTCGCAGCTGAATTCTCGCCTCTCGTCTCGAGGAACTGTTTTTTGTTGGGGCTCAGAGAAAGAGGAATTTGCATGTGTAGGCTTTGGGATTTAGAGTTCAGGATGTTCCCAGGGTTCGGGTTTAGGGCGTAGGACTGAGGTGTAGGGTGTAGTTGTGGTTTAGGTTGGCAGGCTTCAAGGTTTTAGATTAGGACCTGGGATTTAGCGTCTACTTCGGCTTTGGGTCTTTGCATTAGTTTTGGCTTCAAGGTTTCGGCTTGAGTTTTGGTTTGGAAAACAAGCAAGTGTACGAGTAGGGAAAACTGTGAGATCCTCGCTGACAGAAGGAGGCATCCGAGCCAAGTCCGTTGGTCGAACCTGAAACATATGACGTCTACGTTGTGCGTATATATATATATATAGTTACTGATTTTCTACATATACATAATCATGCACATGTATGTGTGCTACAGATAACCAGTCAGATGACGGCAGCACAGACATGTTGTGGAGAGTCGTATGGGCTGTTGAGAAGGATGCTAGAAGGCAGGCCGAGAAACCTGGAGTGTCGGGTCTGTTTTTGCTCACCGTGAGATTCTCAGCATGGCACCTGTTTCATGGACCCTGCACCCGAACAGGCTGCTTTCATGGGGTCTAGAGGAACCTTGCAGCGTGCCAAGCCACGTGGACGAGTTAGCAATAAGTCAGAAATACACCCCACAACAAGCCAGGGTGCTGGCTTTCCGGAGTTGACGGGCTTAACCGGCCCTTATAGAGGTCCTTACTCATCCCTTGAACCGGGATCCCGACCCAAAGCGCTGAGCTCGACACCGCTAAAGCCCAGAATCCTAAACTCGCGCGCGTCACCAGGAAAGCTTGCATCCGATTCAAAAGCAGGTTGCCTTTCATTTTCCGGCCCACGCTTTGAGTAATACCAAACCGAGTTGGGGTAAGTAGTTTCATCTAGGCAAGTGCTTGACTCCTATCCCGAAGGTTCGCAGCAGCTTATGCTCACGCTGATTTGAAGCTAGTGCCGGAACGTGCGGCAGCTGATGCCAATGATGCTGGCTTTCTTGGGACTGGTGGTGGAATGTGCGGCAGCTGATGCTCATGACACTGCATTCTTGTACTGGAACTGGAATGTGTGGCAGTTGGGGCTAATGCTGCTTGCTGTACTTGTTACTGTGCTTGTTACAGCTGAAGCTCACGACGCCCGCCGCAGCTGATGCTCCATGAGTTCGGAGCCGGTTAGGAACCTACGGCAGCTGATGCTCATGAGGCTCGCTGATTCCGGGGTTGTGCTTACAGGTGCCGCAGCTGATGCTCGTGATGTCCGGTAGCTTGCGGCCAGTGGCATAACGGGTGGCAACCATTGACCATTATGTTCGCTGGACTGCTACGCTCAAAATGCTCGCTGGTGTAGGGCAAGTTTAGGGCTTTACGGCTTGTAGCACATCGCACGGCAGCTGCTAGTTACGATGTTGGCTGGTTCGGAGCTCGCGCTGGATTGCGCGGCAGCTGATGCTCATGATGCTCGCTGGCCTCGCTTTGCGGTGGAACATCGCCGGCTGTCGCTCATCATGCTCGCAGGTTCGCAGCCGTGAAGGTGCCGCAGCCGGTGGTGTGTATACGCCCGTAGCGAACGTGTGGCAGTGATGATCGTGATGCTCGTTGGTGCTTATAGCTACAACACACAGCTGCCAATGCAGCTGATGCTTATGATGCGCGCGTGTTGGCAGCATGTGATGAAACATGCGAGGGCGGCTGATAATTATTCTGGATGCTCGCGGATTCGGGTGGTGGAATGTGCGGCTCATGATGCTGGCTGGTTCGGGGATTGTGGTGGAACGTGCGGCAGCTGATGGCCGAGGGTGATGACTGCTCTGGGATTCCAGCACGCGCGGCCCACTGCGGTATACCTTTGATCCCTGCAAGCCGACAAGTTTCGACTCTTAGTGAGCTGTAGGGCTATAGGTGGCTTCCTCAACCAAATAGCAGTACACTTGCTTGCCCTCAAGACCGTCTCAGGCCACGAGCCCTAAGATCCTCGAACCCTGAGCCCAATTCCTTAATACCCTAAACACTAAAGCCTCGTCTGAGTCGCAAGGTCCTTACCTGAACGATTGCTTCTTCATGCCGCAGGTCTTGCCTCGCGACTAAGTTTTGAGGGGGCCCTAAATCTACACAGCAGAGCTTTCGGGATTAGAAACTTGGCCTCAGGTGGGTTCCGGGTAAAGGGCAGCGAGTTCAGGGAAGTCAGGCTATAGTTTGGGCTTGGGAGTTTGCTTGAATCAGACGCACTGCTCCATACCATTCACTCAGAATCTACTCGTACCGAGTTCTCAAGCAGCGCACACGGACAGCACTTTTGGTGCCCTGCAGTGTATGACGTATGCTATGTTGGGGTATTCACTCGAATCCCGGATCTCTAGAAAGAGGATCGTTTCAAGGACGAACCCCTTTTGGCCTGACAGTGTTGTGACGAATCAATCTGCAGCTCTGGAGCCATACTTCAGGAATTTGCAGGGACTATTGGAATCGACAGAAGGCAGAACTTTCAAACCCCAAAGCCCTTGAGCTTGGATGTTTGGCCCGTCTTCCCTGCCGATCTCATTTTCGCAGGCTTTGCAATACATACTTCCATTATTTAGTTTACAAAACTTCCCTACAGATATTTATGAAAGGTATTGAGCAGGTATCCTGCATTTGTCCGTATGTATACCACGCGCACGCCAGCACGTTCGACGGGTGTCTATGCGTGCACAACACATGCAACTATGCGCAGTCTGCTTGGATCCTCGAGGTCTGTCTATGGTGTGTTCAACAAGTCCAGCGCCACGCACCAGTACTGCCAACGGATCCTTCACACCGAGAACCTCGACCAAGAGACCTTTGCCTGCACGTGAGGGAGAGGGCCCTAAAGGGCCAAGCTCATAAAGGCGATCTTTAGGGCCTTTAGTACCTTCACAGGTTTCTCATAGCCTGGTCGTCTGGCCGTGTTCTGCAGCATGCGACAGCAGCTTCTGGTCAGCAAATGCCGCTTGGGGCTACAGCTCTCAAACCGCGGTGCGGAGGAAAAAACCAATCTGGCGGTAGGCGGAAGTACCTTCAAGACTCGTCCTTAAGCTGAAAGGCTGCACTCAGATCTGGGACTGCTGCTCACCAGCCAAAAGAGATGGATGGATGCTGTATACGAGCACTGCAAATCATGGCAGCTTAGAACTTAGGCTTGCAGTGCTAATGGAAACCATTGTGTTGTGTGAGGTTTGCCGATCTCATGAAAGAGTTCGGCCACGATCTTCAGCTGCCTGACGACGACTTGATGTCGTCATGGACGGACCACTGCAACATGACATTAGATGAGCTAACTCCGACTACGAAAGCCGCAGTCTATGAGTGACTTGGATGAAAGAGCTTTCGGGTGCTCTTCACTGCCTCCATTCAATGTGACCGGGGACTTCTCTGTCGACAGCTTCTGATGGAAGACGGGTTTTGTGGTTTCATCCGGGTCCCTGTTATTCTTCTTGCCTTGTGAAGGTGCGGTGGGCCCGGTGATGTTGTCTTCGCACCGAGAGCTCCAAAGGCTTAGATCATCTTGTTGCCTGCACCTATGAACTGCGTTGCATGTTCCTCCTCTCGTTGTGTGTTGTAGATGCTTTTGGGTACATCTCAGATGACACACATTACCCAGGCTAATACATTCTGCATGGGAACTGCAGTGACTTCACCACTGGCTGTGCTGTGCGCTGACGTGCTAGTGGGTCTGCGGTGTAGGGTCCAGATGGTTGGTCGGCATCCTCGTCCAGAGCCCAGAAAGTGCCAACTATCCCCACCAGGTTGATGCTTCCAATTTCAGTTCCGGTCCAGACGCAGAAATTCTGGCGACATGGAACCCTTAGATTCAAACAGGGACGAGCCGAAGCCACATTCCAAAATGCTGGAATCAGATTCACCATAAGCCCCCCACACCCAAGTCCAAAGATCTCTATCCCCTACCCAGTTCTGCCCTTAACACCGGAAACCTTGAGGAAATACAAGGTGGACTACGAGGCATTTGGCTATCCAACGCCAAGCTTCTGAGAGGGTCAAAGCGCAGTTGCTGGAGCAAGAAAAGTCGGAGACCCAAACACCTAAACACTGAACCCCATCCCCTTAAACCCTTAAAACCCTGCCCTAAACTCTGGAGGAAGCATTGGAGTTGAGTTGTTTGTCTTCCGGTTCCCTCTGCACTGGCTCTCCCAGACTCAGCACCGGGCTTCCGAATACCCGATAAACCCTTGTAATAGCCGGTTGAAGATGTGTTTTTAAATGTTTCCCGTAAGGTATCTGTATTGTATAGTCACCATTCTATTGGGTGTCCTTATGAATCGTTTCCATAATTTTTCATTCACAGCATACGCCACACCATTGTTCTTCAGCGATCTTGTTGTAAGTGTGGGTGTTTGGGGTTTATGGCACATAATACAGCATGGTACAGTACGGTATAGCAAAGCATATGTAGTAATAAACTGTATAGTATCCTCACAGCAGCACTTGATCTGAATCCCTGTGAACGACAGACTTTAACGTTCCTTGCCCCCGAGTGCGCAAGCCCACACGTTGAGAGTTGACTCGGGCCTGAGTCTTAACCCTCAAGCCTAAACCCTGTCAAACGCAAAGCCGTAAAGCCCGAGCCTTGAACTCTAGCAGAAAGCCTTTCGCGTCAAGAACCAGTACATAAGTCCTAAGCCCTGAAGCACCCCTTCTTAGCACTAGACCTTTCGGCCCGCTCATTATAATAGCCCGTACACTGAAACCACAACTCGAATGCGTGCGCGGTGGGCGTAGCTGGACGAAGCCAGGTCGCGGCCGCAGCGGAAACAGGGAGCCAACGCCCCGAGCCTGCACAGTTTGGCTGCCGTACAACACTGACACGTACTCGTAGGGCTTAAGGTTCTCGGGTGTGCAAATTCGTGTACGCAGCACTTATGGGTGTCAGGTTTGAGGGTTTGAAGTGTTGGGTCTGAGGGGCACCTAGTCTATGTTGAAACCTATGGTACAAACCCCTCAGCCCAGACCGGTCGAAGGGCTTGGCATAGAGGGTTTCGGATCTTTGGATGTCCGATGTAAGGTCTGGCAGGTTTAGGGGTAGGTCAAGTATACCTTAGTTGTGCCAGTATGGTGCCGTCATTGCTCGTAAAAATTGCGATTGTGCAACTGTTTCCGACTTGGTTGTTGTATTGTAACAGCAATATCAAGACGAGGCCGCAGCGCACTGGGTCCTTCGATGGTCTCAGACACGGGGAGCATACCCTAAACCCAACTTCGCAGTAGAGGTTCCCTGATCTCCCAGCCGAGCCATGTTACACTCCAATAAACACTACTGATGGTGCTAGGTGCTGAGAGCCACAAATTGAATGGACTGCTTCGAGAGTTGGCGATGTCTGCACAGGCTTGTTGTGGTTTAATTTCTGGTGCCAGGATGACGCGCAAACCGCGTAGATCCTTACAGCGAAGCTGGCAGAAAAAGAGGCATATGAGGGTTGATCAAAATTATGGGCCCCTTTTGGTCCCCTAAACCATAAAGAATACCTTTATAGAGACCCCCCAAAGGGCCCATAATTTTGATCAACCCCCATATGAGGGCCGCAGTCACTTCCTACACACCGCAGTCACCCGAATCCCATCTTGAAGCTCCAAGCTTTGCGCCCGCGACACCCAAAAAAGATGAGACCTCAACTCCCCCCCCAAAGACTCGAGTGCCAGGAGCTGCTAGGACCCTCATGGGAGAGTTTAGAATATCGGGGTGGTGATGACGGGACCCTAAACCCGCCCAGTGGCCTGCGCTTCGAACGACCCGGATGTGCCGGTGCCACAATGGCTCAAAAGACACGACAAAACCGAACCTCGTAGCATTCTGCCCTCTCTGGGTCGTAGGCTTTCGTTTCGCTTCTGGCTCTGAGGGGTGTTTGGGGCTTTCCGCCTCGAAGATTCAAGCTTCCTCTTGGCAGCTCTTCTGAGTTTCTGGGAGTTGTGTTTCTTCGGGATTCGGGGTGCTGGGCTCCTTTGGGCGTAGAATCGCCTGCTTTTACAGAGCCCCAGAGCCATGGCGCAACCGCAGCGAGTTCCTGCAACGACCCCGGCAGTTCAGCACATGCGCGCGCCCGTGCAGCATCCGGGCGCACGCTACCCGGCAAAAAAAGCGAGGTTGTGACATTTGAATCGAACTAGTCTTAGTCTTGTTCTTACTACTGTTGCGTCCCCTCTCGCTCGTGGCTCTCTCAGTTTCGTTCTTTCTCAGTTTTCTGTTTTGGATAGGCGCTAGCTGCTCATGCATACTTGTTTGTTGTATGTGCGCATTTTTGAACGAGCAGTCTTTGCACCGTTGCAGGTGGACCCTCCTCTCGCTCTCTCTCTCTCTCTCCCTCTCTCTCTCTCTGTCTCTCCCTCTGTTTCTCTTCCTCTTTCTCTTTCTCTCTGTCGCTGTGTCTCTCTTCACATGCACGTTCAGATTTCTGTGTTTGTGTGTACACTTTTAAGCATGCGGCTAATCCTGCATCTGTTGAAGCAAATTTGATCAAGCTTGAAAGGCTTGGCCTTTGGCAACTTTCATGTTTGCAGCACTCGATTTCGGATTCAGGGGTTAGCAGCCGAGGTATTTTCGAATATGGGGGTCAGCTAAGGGCCAAGTTCGGCTCCAAAAAGTACTGCAATCTCTCAGGGCACAGACTCCAGTTGCAACCCCGGGAAGTTTCGAGAGATTCAGGATTCCTGGATGGTCGTCAATGCTGAAGCCTCGCTTCACACAGCTCCCAGCCGAGCCAGGGCTCCACCATCCCACATGTCTGCCTTGGAAATGAGCACCCTAGGCCCTTAAATCCCCAAAGCCGCAAGGCCACAAAGCCGCCTTTCCGACGCACCCAAGTTTCCGCCAAAGTGCTTAGCCGCCAAACAACAGGGACAGCCTTTCTGTAGGGATTTTGAAGAATTAGTACCATAAGAAACAAATCTTCAATCATCGTCTCTTTTTTCAATATACCCCCGAACCCTCTTCCAGCAATGAACGCCGCTAGAGTAAATCTGACAGTCCCTGCAACGAAAGACTAAGACCCCAACCGACGCCCTTATCCATCAATAAGCCAAGCCGGCCCAAGCCTCGGCATCAGAAAAGGAGACCCGGCAGGAACAGACCCGAGCCTCCAAGAAACCTGTAGCTTGAGGGGTTGAGGGTGTAATGTAGGGGTTAGGGATTGAGGCTTTAGAGAGTGTTATCTGAAACGGAGACCCGGCAAGAGAGCACCAGGTTTGATTTCGGAGGATGAGCTGAAGACGGAGCGGGAGCGTTGGCGCCAGACGGTGATGCACGAGGCTGTCAGAGCTTGGGGGTTCAGGGGTTAGGGTTTGAGGGTTTAGCTTAGGGTTTGGGGTGTGCGAAAGCGCGGGAGAGGGTCTTTGCAGGCAAGTTCTGGAATCCTCGAATTTCCATGTGGTTTGGTCCGACCGGGGTGAAGCGTTCGCAGTTCGTGATCTCTTTCGATTGAGAATACAGTGCTAGTAGCTCGTTCACGGTTTGGGTATAGTCTGGTTTACTTGTACCTAAACCCTGGGACCCCCGAAAAGGCAATAATTGTCGGAATTCTCCCAGGCTTCCAGATGAGCTCCCAAGCTCCAACCCCTCACGAGAGAGTCGTTTCGGAAGATGGGGAGTTCTCTACGGGTTTCGGGTTTAGGGCTTGGGGTTCTATATATTTAAAAGGGTCCGTTGGAAATTCAGGGAATCTTATGCAATCGTGTCAGTATATATAACCTGACAATCCAAAGACACTCGTGCAACCCTGCAGGTGGCAATATCGAAGCCTGAATGATTCGTAATCTTCTTCCGTGGGGTTGCTCATTTCATGAAGATGCTGCAATATGGGAGTTTCCGAAAATGGGGGACCCTAATATAGTACCCTGAATAGTAGGATCCTTATTATAAGGACCCCCAAATAAGGTACCCCTAATTTTCGGAAACTCCCATATTGCAGTCTTAAACCGCATTCGAATTATTCAGGCCCTTGCCCTGTCCAGAGCTGAAGGCCCGGAAGATGTCAAGATCGCCACTCGAGATTGGCCGCCCCTGGTAGGGTCCTTTGTAAGGGTACCGTCTCCGTTCGGGGGCCTTTCAAAACGGGGTGGGGCCCTAATTTAGGGAACTGCCGAGGTGTGGAACCTGGAGAATGCTGCTTTCGAGCGGATAAATGCCAAGCTGGAAGAGTCGAAGGTTGGCCTTGTGACTGGGTCTCAAAGTTTATATAGGGTGGGTTTAAAGTTGGGGTCTTAAAGCTTATATGAGGTGGGTTTTAGGGTCTTAGGCTTTTTACACGGTGGGAATGTTAATTCGCGGGCACGGTTCATAAAAGGTGGTTCTCGGGTCTTGAAGTGTGCCCAAAGGGGGTCATTCAGGGATCTATAAAAGTTCGAACGGCGTTTAGCTTTATGGTGTATTCTTAAAGTTTACAAGCTGTAGAATTTTTAGTTAGTACGGTGTTGGTCTTGTAAAGGGTTTATAGGCTTGGAACATTTAGGGTTTAAGGTTTGGGCTCTGCGTTTTTAGGGCTTTGGGTGTTTACGGCTTAGGGTTGGCTTGAGACTTGCAAGGTTGTGGTCCGGCTCTTCGTCAAAGTTCTTGGCATGTCTGGGCTAACTTCAAGTCATGACAGGGGGCGGTGCAACAATTTCACGTACGGCATCAGTCGATGGCTCCTGGGCTTTTCTTTCTGTCGGGTTGAAGGTTAGAGTTAGAGTTCGGCCCCAGGTCACCGAGGTGACCAAGCACGTGGCCAGCCAAGTGTTGGAACACATTGAGGCGTTGGCATCGGTGTTTGCGGCTTAGGGGCTTGAGCCTAGAAATCTTACTTCCGGTTTTGTCTTTTGGAGTCCGCAGGGTTGAGTTTTCAGTAGCCTAGCGCATCGCTTCAAGTTTAGATGAACTTTGACCTTGTACTGGGATTTCTAGGGTTGGGTACTTGGGTGTGGGATCCCGAAATCCCGGAGGTTTACACCCCTTCCCACACACACACACACACACACACAAAACACGCACGCACACACACACACACACACACATACACATACCCACACAATCCAACCAAGCCGTCCAGCCCCAAATCTCTGAATGCGCCGAGGTGCCTAAACACCAAAGCCCTCTACTACTACCCTTTCGACGTCACGTGGGAGGGTATTTAGCTTTGTGGAATGCCAGCGCCACAAACTCCACTTCATACTACAAGTTGACGCTCCGCTTTGGGGTTTGGGATCCTTGCAACAGTTGACCGGGTAGGGCTGTAGGGCCGCAGCTTTTAAGCGTGAGGATCTCAGCGTCAGGGCTTAAAGACAAGACAACACATTGTTGGGGTTACGGTTGGAGGGTTGTTCGCAGGGATGCGCAAGCCCTCAATTTGCAGTGCCTCGCTTGGTTGTTGCATTCGTTTACAGTAGCCATCTCAGTCTGCCACAGGCAGAGCGAACTCAGCGGACCAAGGACCATGCAATATAGGGATCTGAATATTTGGGAATTTTTGTTCCGTTGCAGTCTGTTGTTCCTTGTACCTTTTCTGCCCCCAAATCCTGTTTTCATTCTGACAGCTCATGCAGAGATCAATTGAGTTCTGCTCTTTGCAACCGGTGGGAAGCAGTCGTATTCAAAACGCCCGACCCGGCCCTCAGATCATCTCAGATCCCGTTTTCCAGACCTAAACTTTGAAGCCATATGTCTTGTTCATGCCGAATGAGGGCGTATGCATGCATGCATGTATGCTGCAGATGTAGATGTAGATGTATGTAGGTAGATAGGCAGATTTGTTGACAGGGGTTTGGTGGTTCAGGGCTTGGAAGTCTCCGTTGTTGGATGGGTGTGTGCGTGTGTGTCTGTGTCTCTGTGTCTCTGTGTCTCTGTCTGCGTGTGCGTGGTTGTTTTTGTTCGTCCGTCCTTCCGTCCATCCGTCCATCCATCCATCCATCCATCCATTCATCCATGCCTGATCGAGCTTTATGTTTCCCTCTGTCTCTGCATGTTTCTCCATCTGTCTCTCCCGCTCTCCTGTACAGGCATACAAATACATGTACACCCGTAAACGAGGCTTTCTCATATTCTTTACTGTCATATAGAGGTGCCGACTCATCAATGCTTGGGGGCCCTGAAAATTTATGCTCAGCTGTTGATTTCTGTATTTGTGCAGACACACACACACACACACACACACAAGTACAGAGGTCTTAAGGGGGGTCTGGGCTGATTCATTCTGGCAGTGTTTGGGTTCCCTGCATTTTCTTGGATCTTGCTCGAGAAAGTCTGGCCCACCCTAGGAGCCCAACTATATCCCACTGCAATTCCTGAGTATAAAGATCCTGGCCTCAAATCTGGTTCTGAGAGGAGTTACCCAAAGCCCTAAACCCTGAACCCTTAAAGTAAAAGCCAGAAAGTTGGAATATGATTATCCTAACCCTTCTATGGTAAATTATAAGGTATCCTACCATGAAACCATATTCCAACTTTCTGGAGTTCCCTTTACAGTGTTAGCCTGTTACCCTGAAGTGCCAGCCAGGAGCTGATACAGAACCGCCCTCAACGAAGTAGGGCTAAGGATTTGTATAAGGGTTCTAGCAGTGGTTTCTACAAGGGTCTTGGGGGGTTTAGTGTCTGGTTTTAGGGTTTGGGATTTGATGGGGCTGTAGGTTTTTGGGTTTTGGGTTAGTTTGGCATCTGGGTTTTCTTGCTTTGGGCACTCCAGATCGACCCTAAACCTTGGTTGAGCGAAAGGGTTTCGATTTGAAGGTCATGTCGACATATAGGACGAGCTACGACCTCAAACCTACGCTCCATGCTACCGCAGCATCTGCTGCAGGACATCGAGGATCTGCGCCAACTGCTCCTAAAGCTCCCGGACCCCGCAGGGGGTTCGGCAGGGTTTAGGAATTTCGATTATGGGTTAGGGTTCAGGGTTTCGGTGGATGAGTTCGCGGGCTGAGATTGTCGGCAGTATAAGTCTCAACGTCCCCATTCGGCTTTAGGGAACCTTCCCGAATCCTTAATCCTACACACGCAGTTCACATTAAACCGGCAAGCAATCCCAGAGTCCGCACCTACACCCCAAGTCCGCTGTCCAAACGAGCCTTGCATTCTACACCCCAAACCTCACAGCCCCAAATCCGGACCCACACGCTCGAACCTTAATCCTTAATCCCTTAAGCGATGAATCCACTAAACTTTACAGCCAGAGTGAACCCCAACCCCAAGCAGCGCATAACCCCAAACGCCGAGACGCTTGGGGACGTCGATGCTTTTACCCTTGTTTTCGTTTCCACACCTGATATGCAAGGCTTCACTGATGATTAGAAGTCGTCTTGGATGTCTTTATGGATAAGTGTACAATATCAGCATACATTATTAAGCCTGCCAACCACGGCTCGACGGTCGTTCATGCTATTCGGCATTGCCTTCGGGTGTCAGAACTTAGAGCATCTCTGTTCAGTAGCACCGCCCCTGCAAATGCACATCAATATCTCGATAGATGATAGGTACCATGCACACTACCTATCACAGTATATGACCAAATATGTTATATACGAAGGATCTGTCACATCCCAGAATCCAAGCATTCTCAGCCCAAGTCCTATAGACACTTTTCCAGATCAAGCCGAGGCCTCTCAAAACCTTACATCTTAGAGGTTCAGGGCCTCGGGGTTTGGATTTTTAGCCCTCTGTGGCAGGAGGCGTCAGAGCTTGGGGAGCTCAAGAGAAGCTTCGCGGACCTCCAAGCGCACCTTGACCAAGCTCGGACAGCCTTTCTTTTTGCGGTGTTGAGGGGTTCGGGTTTTACAGTTTGGTAAAGCGCAGAGTTTTTTTCTACATCGTGGACTGAAGCCCTGAAACGCTGAAGGCGAGCAACCCCGCAGTCTGACTGCAGGGCGGAGTTTGATAAAGGTATTCGATAGCCACCAGGTTTTCACGGTTTGGGACTCAGGGTTGATGGTGATCCGGGCTAAGGGAAATTGGCTTGATGCTTTCGATTTGAGTTCCTTGCTGACATGTAGCAGAGAGCTCATGACAGCGAACGTGGAACGGATGTGTGTACGAGCATGTGGCAACGGTCCCGCGTTTTCTGCAGCCCTTCGAGAGTTTTGCCTGACAAACATGTTGCCACGAAGCAACATAAGTCTCCTCGCCAATCAACACAAGACACTGCGCCTGCGGACTGCCCAGGCCCCATCCCTACTGCAGAGCGTTGATGCAAAGCATGAGCCAGAAAGCTCAAAAGACAACTTCAACAGTCAATACCAGTACCCCAATGATCCTTATATACCTGCACCTGTAACACCTGTGAATCGCCAGTTTGCAATGACAATTTCGAAGCACAACCTTAAACCCTGAGACACCATTGAATCCTAAGCATGAGCAAACCACGCGAAGCACCAAGGACGGTGGCCACCGAGTCTCTTGGATGCAGCCTTGCCTTGTCACTGATGGCAAAACCCGGGTTTAAGGTTTTGTTGTCGTGCATCAGCACATTGTCCAGTACTAAAAGTTAAAAAGACACAACACACTATAGTCTAGTTGGAACAACATATTACAGTATACTGTAGTATACTATGAGCAGACGGCGGTTGATCAAGGACCGAATGCAGACTCATGCCGAGGGCTATCGGCTTAGATCGGTTTAGGTTTTAGGATGTTTTTGGTAATTCTTGGTTCCCGGCCAAACTCAGCTCTGTACTCATAGTATCGAAATCAAGAGGCCCTACGAATGCTAGTGGCTGCTATAGTATAACGTAGAGTCTTGTGTTTTATGTTTCATTTCGCGTATTGTGCAGCAGGACCCGACACCTAAAGTCCTGCTCGGATGGTCAGAAGACGTACGTACGAATCCAAACCCCTTTACAGGATCCAAAAGATGTTCCTTAAACGGTGCTGGGATAGCCTTGTCTTATGCGGGTGGGCGGTTGAATCCTGGAAAGGGTCTAGGAATCGGGAGTATTATCGGGGTCGGAATGTGGTGGTCATGCCCTTACATACTTCCCGTGACCCCCACAGCCTGTCCGACCTGGTTCTCATGGGCCCCCGTGTACTTGGAAGCTGCGGGCTTCGGGACAAGCTCAAGGGTTGAGGATGGAGCGGTTTAGTTCAGGGGTCTTGCGGGGTTTAGGTCATTAGGGGTTTGGTCCTGCTGGGCATGGCTTGAGAATCATTGTACAGTGTTCTACATGTAGAATGAGTTTCGCACAGCTCGAACTCAGAATTAGGTGTCAGAGCTCCTGCGAAATGAGACCCAAGCGATAAGCTGTTTGGGAACGCTTTTGGAGAACCTGCCGGCTCCTGTTGGCGCGTTCAGGACTCATTGTCTTCTGGATACCCTTTGCAGCGTTTCAATCGCCAACCCAACGCCCTTCGGTGCCCCGGAATTACTCGCCATAGTCCCAGCCACCAGCTTTGCGCAACTCTCCCCTGGATTTGGGCTTAGGGGCTCAAGAGTTGGTGGCAGATCAGAACTGAACCCTAAACCCTGAACCCAACAAACTTTGGAAGCGAGTGCCTAGAGTTTGGGGTCATAGGACCAGCTCATGAACCCTTAACAAAGGGCCTTTAGCCATTCTGTGGGTCTTCTTCTCTTCGGGAGCCCCAGGAGCGGGCGTCGAAGACAGAATCGCAAATCCCGTCTTCAAGTGAGGCTTATTACAATTGTAAACCCCAGCTACACCCCAATTATGATATACTGTACTATTGTAGCCCTGATATATAATAATAATGATAATGATAATGATAAAAATAATAGTAATAAACAATAACAATAATATAACATCAAGGGTCCTAAGCTTTCCAGTGGGATCGTCTTGCTCCAGGCGCCAGTCAGTCACGTCTGAGGCCACCATCAGCGTGGAGGCCGACCTTTGCATGTTTTCGTATAGAGGCCTGAAGAATTAGTGCGACTATTCCTTAATGATTTCTGCTTGGCTTTAACTCTTCTGGCCCTGCTTTCGGCGGTTTCCTCGACCTACACGAGGGTTTAGCCTGCGAGCCAATTTCAGAGCTGGTGCGGTTCTTGCACTGTGGGTCCTTTTGTCCTGTTTGATCGGCCAGATCAGTCAATCAGCCCTGGATCTCAGCTTTCTGTCGAAAGGTCCAGTATCAAGAACTCTTGGATCATGGCCGCAGCCATGAGTTCAGCTCCTGAGTTGGACGCTGCTGCCTACTAGCATGGACCCACATCTCGCGTAGGTCATGGAGTCGATGAGGTTACCATGTACAAGCCCTGCGTGGATGGGTGGATGCATGTAATTACGTGTAAGGCATGCTTAGGCTGTGATGTGTGTTCTTGTGTGCAATACAGTAGATTTACAGACATACATACATACATACGTATGCACACATATCCAACATACACTACACACACATGTGTTCGTGTCGTTCTATGTATATAACATATATATACTAATATTTTATTTATATACAATAGTACACACACACATATATCTCTGACATAGGTGTAGAAACACCTATGTATTCATCACCTCGAACGATGTTGTTGTCTGTTCTTATTGGCTTATTCCCAAAACTGGAATGGACACTCTTTCTCAGAGAAACCATTGGATAATTATCTTCTTTATCGGACGTCCTCAAGATGGCGTCCAACTATTCTAAAATGCAGATTTGCTGAAGACCAGATCTAGAGATTAAGCAGATATTTCGTGACAGTTCAGGCAGGGGCATGAGAAGCTCATGCACGAGAGACGAGACTTGCGCTGGCGAGCCCTAAGCCCACAACCTTGAGCCCTGAAGCCACGATTCTCAACCCTGAACCACACACCCCAAGTCTTACACACTTACTAGTTACTAGTACTATTCCCCTGTCAGAACCTCGAGAATAAGCTTATACCCAAACCCTCCTTTTCCAGACAACATCCTATTCCCACCCTCTGCTAGAACCTACTGAACCCCCCTAAACACTCCAAGACCCATCAATGATTAAAAGGGGAGCTCGAAGCTCGAGTCCACTGTGGAAGAGCTCAAGGTGCGCCGAAGATGAGGGCTATGCGAGGATTTGGGGGCTATGCGAGGCTTCCATGTTATGTGGGTGTTCCAAGATAGGTTCTATAAGGCTTTATATCGGTCCTAGAAGGGGTTCCATGGCGGTTGCTAGTTGGGGTCCTAGGTTTTGGGCTTTTGGGTGTACAGTCATGACCACGATCCTTCAGGATTCAGGATAGATCATGGCCTTTAGGGTCTTTAGGGCTCTTGGGCTGGGTCTCGGGATGGGGGTTGAAGCTCAGGGTGAAGTGTCAGTTCCAAGCTCTGATGGGCCCTGAGCAATGAGATTGACGAGAGAGAACTTCAACGGACGAGACTAGATGAACCTCAAATCCCCGATCCCTAGACCCTAAACTCTAAACCACTGCTCAGCCACAGTCTCCCACCACTCCAAGTGTTCAGCGCGAGCGCTTAGATGAGGGCTTTAGGGTTTTGTGAAAGCCCGAGGGATCTGGAGTCAAGGAAAGTAGGATCTGCTTCGAGACCTCTACTAAGGTGAAGACAGCATCACTGGAGGCTGCGATGACCGATCTGAAGGACCCCCCCTCCGACTGCGTTCAGGACTTTTGGGCTTTCTGGTCTAGGACCTCGGAGGCTATGCTTCAGAGAGGTCTCTCGCGTTTGGGGTGTAGGTTGGGACTCAGATTTGAAGATAACCGCACGATCAGAGCCCGGAAATGTGGCAAGCGCAGCTTCTTGCATTATGAGGCTCTGGTGAAGGTGGATGCAGGGAAGACTGCCCAATGAAAATCCTACCTTCGTCCCACGTCATGAGGCCCTTGACATCAGTACCAACATCGTCCGGTCTTTCTTGACTACAACGGTAGCAATGCTAGCAACACGAACCGGTAATGATGACAGCAGTAATGATAGTACCAGGAATTAGCATGATATGGGACAGTACCAGTTGTAACAAAAAATCAGAACCTAAACCCTAAAGCCCTAAACCCCTCGATGCTTCTCCAACGGACGCAATATTCCAGGGTGAGATGGCTTTGCAGCTGCAGCGACAGGAGATGCAAGTCGCGACGCTTCCTGTCTCAAGTGTTTGTGGAGTCTAGATTAGGTGTTTAGGGTGTAAGGGGGGGGGAGGTTTTGCGGTTTGGGGTCAGGGTGTCCGGTTCGAGGATGGGGCTGCAGGCCTAGCATTGCGATCGTGAGACCCTTTAGTGGCTGTGTAGTGGTGGTAGCAGCAGCTGAGGTTGTGTTGGGGGCAGTAGGCGAAGGGACCGGAGCTTGAAACCCTGGATCGGGGTTCGCCTAAAGAGATTGACAAGTTGGCCTTGTGGGATCTCATCAACAGTTCGTCTGAGTCGGCACAGTCAGCAGAGGCGTAACCCTCCCCTTGCTGCCGAGGTCCATCACTGAGCTGCATCAGGACTACTGCATTGGGGGAGGAAATATTTCGGATTTTGCAAATCGGAGCCCTCGGCTTTCAAACTCAAGACTTAAGAGCCAAGGCTTGCAAGCCCCAACTCCCAGTCCCACGCGGGCTCATCGATCCGAAAGCGGGTCCGCTTGGGGATCAGAGTTGGGGGTTCGAGGTCTAAGGTCTACGGGTGTAGGTTTCGCAGGTCTTCGTTGTGTCGATTTTCGCTTTAGGACTTTAGGGTTGAAGGTTTGGGAGCAGAAGTGCGTGTGCGTTGGGAATGATTGCGTGCAGCATTGGACCTGCGGAGTCAGTGGTTCAGATTGGGGTGGCTCCGGGCGTCTGACCAACGTGCCAGAGTCGCTGATGCCTTCCAAACTTTAACAAAATTTCAGTTGAGATATAGGGCAGGTCAGCTGGATAACGATGTCCCAATTGGGCGTTCGGGACATTCAACAGGCGTGACTGGCAAGATCCTTGCCAACCTTCAAGTCTGAATGTCGCTGATTTGATATCCACCTTGCTGCTGACGCTACTGTCCATGTTGATGCCAAAGGGAACGCCGAGGGCCAACGCGCACTCCATCCGTAGATACTATCCTTATCACCTTCGCTACTACATCCCGCGAAGCCCCGATCACCAAACAATCACTCGAGACCTCGCCGCCTGGAGGAAATCGGTGCCCTGAACCGAAGCGTTCCATGCATTCAGGCACAGCCGTTACTTCCCTGCTTCCTCTGAACGGTGTCAGTGTTCATGACAGTTGTCTAGTGTTGTGGTCTTTCCGGGTTTTGAGAACCTTCACCGTCCCTAAATCGACTCACGCGTTCGAGGTTCGGGGTCATTTGGAGGGAGTTATTTCCCCGGCCTCGGGTTGAAGCTCGTAGCGGCGCTGCGCGACTGCGAAGGGAAAGTGCGGGTCTTCGTCACCTCCGAAACAGACGTCTACACGTCGCCCAGTGAACATGTCGATCCTCCTGCTCGGGAAAGCAAGTGCAAGGTGATGCTATATAGAAGCCTGAACAGTTACCAGTATCACGCCCCGGGTCCCCTCATTATATTGTCCATCAATTCCCCCACACCAGAGCCATCACTCGAAAAGCAAAGCAGGTGTCTGCTGCGAACGAGAGCACCGAGGCGGTCTGCAGCTCCCAATCCTGAACCCTGCTGTGTGGTTGATGTCGATGGTTTAGGATTAGGGTTCGGGGTTACGGATTCAGGGACTGGGGTTTAGTTTCTGTTTAGGGTTGGGCTGTTTAAGGTTTGTCCAGGTCTTACACAATTCAGCGTCACACGTCTTATCGGAGTCAACTAGGACTGCTCAGTCCAGCGACGATAGGAGCTACAATATTTGTAGAGACGATCTCAACTTGTAACCGTAACAGCAGCGATATCATGAAATGAAAAGTAGACAGCTGGAGGAGGTGGTGAAGGTAGCAAGGCAGCAATAACATGACAAGAGGCAGACACACTGTCAACAAATCATCGGGTTGAGACTTCGTTCCCATGTCTGTGCCTCCAGGAGTTCAAGTTAACTTCATCCATTGCAAGCGAGTAGCTTGAATCGAAACGCCTACCCCAAGCACCTAATCTCAGAATCCTAGAATGCTGAAGCGCCAAGCGCGCCCAAAACGATAAATGTAAGCACAGCTGACAAGAAATGAAAGCGCAAGCCGATCTCTTTGCCATGTCCAGGCCGCCGAAAGCAATGCATCTCTCATCACAGCCCAGGCCGCGATCAGTGGGACCTCTGGGAGTCGTAGGGTTGCAGAGTTCAGTGTCAAAAGAACGAACGGTGACCCCGACTGCAAAAGGCTCAGAGCCGAAGAGCCCCAAGATTAAAGCACCAAAAGCAGCTGAAGCAGCACTGTCAGCATCAATACGAAGAACGACACACGACAACAGACTGGGACTACAAAGAGTCTAAGTGGCTCAATATCCATAGTGAGCTGGTGCCATGTATGAGAAGAACAGTATTCAAGCACGTGCTTTAATCTGAGCACTGTAGTCACAGCAATGACAAGCAGATAGATCGAAAGCCTACGTGCCTGGCTCGCAATTCGCCCAAATCCAAGACACGAAGCCAAGAACCGAAGACACAGCACAACCGAGGACACGTAACCCCGAAGCAGGCGACACACAACTCCGAACTGCAGACTCGATACCCCAATTGAAATTGCAAACCCTCAAAATCCAAGTTTCGAGGCAGAACTGTTGCGACAGTTTGCTGAGCTTGAAGTCTCCGTGGCTGGGCATCGGGACACTCGTCAGCAGGCTTGAGGCTTTCAGCTAAAGAAAAGGCATTCTTGGGTTGAGGGTTTGAGTGGAGGGTCTTGTAAACTTGTCGGCTGGTCTTTTATACCGGGTGCTCTAGTTTCTATCAGTTGTTCTCCCTTCGGTCGAGTTCAATACCGCAAAGGGTTGCTGAACCACCGAACCCTGAACTCACAAAGCCTTTGCCGGTTCAGCGATTCTTTCTGGGCTCAAAGCTTCTGGGCATCTTCGTACCGGTTTGCATTCAGGTAGAAATTCCAGCAAGTTGTAGGCAACATAGGGGCCTGAATCAGCTAGAACCGATTGTGGAGATGTTGTGGTATAGTTGAATTGAGAATATCAAGGGACACGATTACCCAATGTATGCAGATCTCCATTAGGTATCACAGTTTACGCAAGGTTTTACATGTTGACATAGGCAAAGGTTACCAGGGGAATGGCTACGTTTTGCGAATTTCAAGGGTGCTGAAGACTCTCGCAGCCTTCAGGCGGAACCCTTTCTTGTCTCCTCGGAGTGGCTTCTTGATTCGGCTGGATTCTCTTGGGGCCTCCATGTTGCAATCTTGAAGCGGCAACTTGTCTTCTAGTTTCTGCTGTTACGATCGATGTCAGGGTCGTTGCTCTTCCATGAAGCCGCATGAAACAGCCAAAGAGCTCAATGTGCAAAACGGACAGCCTGGCCCCAACACCCGACAAGCTCGACTGCGGACCTTTCCCTGCCACCCTCCAAGTCTCAGGATGCCATCAACGCCCTCAAGGAGCAGGAGAAGGATCTTCAAAGCAAGGTCGGGGAAATGAGAGTGCAAGATCGGAAATAATCGAAGGAAGCATACCAGCAAGAGGACAAACCCTGCACCCCAAACCCTAATTAAACATTAGTATCATTAGTAATGGTCATCACATTGCTGATATCTTCAGAGCATGAAACCTGCAACCTCCGAGGGCTTGGGCTTTCGGACTTCGACCTAGCGGTGCACCAGGGCTGCTGTCCATGTAGCGTGGATGCTAATGTTACTGTTGTTATTGCTACTCTGATTCGGATTAATATCATGTTTACCTTCTACTCCTGTGCCGTTCGAGCTATAGGTGTTTGCAAAGAGTAGTGCTACTTGTTCAAGTTCAGGGTGTGCGGGTGGGGGTTTCTGAAATTTGACCATGTCTTGGGCATTCCGGTGTCAGGGAATCCGAAGGTTTGCATCTTGAGGACAGAATTTAGAATCTGGAACGTGGATTGGCACAGGCTCGGGGGGTTTGGGGTACATGGTGCTATGGCTGCCGCGGCCCTTCTCATAGCTCCTGCGAAGCCCAAAGCGCGGAAGCCAATCCTATGCTCTTAACTTCAAAGTCCCCTAAACCCGACACCGTGAGTCGATTGAACAAGAAACCTCCATGCACGTGGAATTTAGTATTCGGGAGAGTTCTTCGACTCAAAGACGCACATTACGTTGGTATCGGACTCTCTAGGCCACCTTGGTACGACTCGATGGCTTGCTGTGTGGTGTGAGTTTTTTGTATAGACCATTCTGCATCCTGCATTCCCAACGCTGTTGAAGGCTTGAACCTTTGTTCACTGTCGAATTTCATGGAATCTGTAGAAACAGATGGAGGCTGCGAAGATCTTTCAGCAACCGAACTTGCTTCACATGCTTCGGCCTGGCCTGGAAGACTGTAAACCCTTTGTTCTGCACATAGGGTTTAGGGTTTAGGCCTTCAGAATGAGAATTCCTCGTCTTCTTCCTCTCGTGCGTTGTCGTCTTTCTCCGTATGCATGACCCCTCTTTAGTAGATGCTCAGACCGATATCGCCCAAACAACAATAGTCGGCTACCGGAACTCTGGATAGTTGCTGCGGGGAAAGGCGTCGCACAGCGAGGTTGAAGCCCTCCAGGAACAGGCCAGGAAAAGGAACTTGAAGGGTTTATAAGGTCTTCCTGCTTGAAGTTTTATTTGAGGGCATGTAGGCTCTGGATAGAAGCGCGCTTGGTTCCAGGATACATGCGCCTGTATAGGGCAGAGGAATTCTGAAAGTCTTGAGGACCCTGGATGCCCTCTAACGGTCTCGAGTCTCGAGGCAGATGGAGGCGCCGGAATACATGAAACTATAAGAGCACAAGCTCCGAAAGAGCAGGTTTCGACAGCTCTTTCGTACCAAAGCCTGAGCTGCACGGACCGCACAAGAATTGGACGCTCTACGACTCAACTGACGGCTCCATGAATGCTGCCACAGCCTGTACGGCCTAAACAGGTTGATCTTATTCATAGCAGGGTGCTGGTGAGTGTATGTAGGGGGCTAATGGGCAATATTGATGGTGAGTGGGCCACTGACCACTGAGCAGGACAATCTTGCAGAACCCACTAGATGTTAAGACTTGCGCAAGCACTGCAGCCCCCATGGAAAGTCCTCCACTACCTGAACATCTTTATCATCAGCCTCCTGAGACTGACTGCCTTGAAAGGTGCGATCGCTTCGGGCCGCCGCTCAAGGACGCGGTGAGCTGGAGCTGGAGACGCAACTGGGCTTCGATTCGGGGATCTTCACAAAGTGCTAAGGGTTGAGGGTTTAGGGGTTGCAGGTGCTATGTAGTAACTGTTTTGGTTTCAGGGTGGTGGGTTACGGGTTCTGGGTCTAGCTGTTCTGCTTCGCCGCCCCTTCAGCCATCCATGCATTCATGGGAGCACGCACCTAAGGGCCACTGGAAGACGTTCTTGTTCAAGGATTGGGCGGATGCAGACTAAAACTCAACGCTTTAGGGCTTTAGGGGATTCTCCATTGTTTCGTGGTGCTCCAATTCACCCCATGGGATTTAGGGTCGCCTTGTGGACGGCTTTTAGCCTCACGATAGAGTTGAGTCAAGGATTCATGTTGTTGGCGACGGGTAGGGCGGTTCAGGTTTGGGGCTTCGTACTTAGAATAATTAGCGGGTTAGAAGTCAAGAGGCATGCTAGCAGACTGAAACCCTAAAACCTAAAGCCCTATATTAAGCCCTCCGAACCCGACACCGGCAAGGGTTCCAGCTAGTACCGAAGGTACCGTCCGCAATGGCTTTTCTCGTGACTTGCCGGGAGGAGGAAAAAGGTCCTGCAAACGAAGAACCCTTAATCCTAGTAGTTGTCTTATACCGATGCCAGAGCGTAGCAATCTGTGCAGTCAGCGGCCTGGTTGAGGACAAAGGCTTGAAGGCTTGCATGGGCTTTGTGGCTTCAGGGTTGATAGAGTTATCCAGAACGCGTCCAAAGCCCAAAGACGGCGGTTCAGGGTGTCGACCCTCCGATAACAACATTCACCTCACGGGCTGTTTTTCTCCAGAAAACACAAGGTAAGACCGCCCCATGGGCAATTCTTCAAACTGGGGTCCCTTCCCAAGTCCCCGAGAACAGTAATAAAAGTACCCTAAATTTAAAAGGGACCCCAATTTGGAGAACTACCCACATGCACACCCCAAGAAGCTCAGTGAGGTCCGTGAGTAAGCTGCCAGCTTACCACGGGGATTTGGATCAGCTCAGCAAGGCTCTTGCGGAGGACAGGCCTTGTCCTAACCCTTAAGCCCTTAAGCTTTGCCCTAAACCCTAAGCCTAAACCGATACCGTAAACCATCAAACCTTTAAGCCTTAAATTTCGTGAAGCCTACCTTAAACCCTAAACCCCTAAACCCTAAACCTACTAAACGTACTGTCTTACGGTCGGGGGGTCTTTCGGGTTTCGGGTGGAGGGAATCCTTGAGGCGAGACCCGAACTCTGAAAGCCTCGCTACATAGAAACCCTCTACTAAGTCATATGTATCGATTTGGCTGTTTAATATAGAGCCCGAATTATACGTGATTTTGAGGATTGTTGAAATAAGCACCTAGTCTATCACCGTTCTTCAGAGCTGGGGCTTTCGGTCGTGATCTTTAAGCCAAAGCATGCTCCTGGAGCATTGGGTTCAGGCCTTAACCCCCAATAGAACTGAGAGTGTCGAGCTCCTCTTCTTCTGTGCTCCGGTTAGTCTTGGTTGCAAGCTCGAGCAAGGAGCGTTCCGGGAAGCCCAACGAACCGATGTGTATTCCTGAAAAACACTACGCAGCACCGGTCTTGCGAGTCTTATATTACAAGTCTAGTAGACCACCAAGCCCTGGTGTAATTTTTACTCGTATACTGAGTTTTGGAGTACCATACAGTACTTGAATACCTGTTATTTGGAACTTGCTCTTTACAGGAACGATTGTGAAATGAAAGTCTATACTTGTTTACCCCTGGCTACTTCAAAGCCAAGTATACGAAGTTTGCGTACGACATCCCGTGGACACACCCAGATACACTTCCGAATGCCTCCGTCGTAGAAGGCTCCTACCTTAGCAGCAAGCTTAAGTAACGAGTTGGGAGCAAAGCGGACCTTTCGTAGTTGAGCTTTCCAAGAATCCGGAAGCCCTAAACCGGCTTGTCCTACCGTGCCCACCCTTTACATTGAGCTTGTGTGGTTCTGGTATAGTCCTACTGACTGTGTTGCTTGCATTTCCCGGTTGTATTGGGTAAGCAAGATTACGGCTTCTTCATCAGGCTTTATGGATGTAGCAGCTACAACTCAATCGAGATGCACCTTTGCAGAGTAGCAGTGGCAATACTCTGCACTACTGCGTCTGCGGACCTTCCATATGTCATATGTGTCCCGCCCGCATCTTGGCTTCCTGCCTATGGGACACTTGGACCAACATCGATGTTGCCCTGCGAAGGGCCTGTTAAGCCTTCGTCGTTGAAGCTTCGGAGAACCATATGCCAATGCCATCTGAAACCTGGCAGTCCCTCGATCCCCGACTCCACAGGAGCGCAGCGAACGCTGCGCCGCACTGGCCGAGGTTCGGCCTTTGGAGTCCAAGAAGAAACCTGAGAACATTTGAGCACAGTAGGATGTAGTTCTTGCCCCGTCCAAGACTCGTATATGCTTGATAAGGGGGAGTGACTTCCCCCAATCTAAGCCCTCACGAACCCTCTGGAAGTTCATAAACGCTCTATACGTCTTTTCTAAACACTGACGAGATGTTCTGTTCTCACCAAAAAAGACTTATTCCAGTTATTGAGGCCCACGGAATCTATTCAGGTGAACCGGCTCATGGAAAGTATCGCGAAGGCCGCATCTGTCGGGCGCTGAGGATCCCAAACAGTGATTCCAAAACCCCCTGGTCGTTGCTTTCGGATTTTGTGGGGTGTATACTGAGGGATTTACTGAACTACTCCCTTAAGTAATGCTTGTATTGGGTTTTTTCGACTTCTTACAGGGTTTGTTGGAAATCTGCGCCTTATGAGGGCAAACTCTGTATGATTTACTGACATGTTCCAAGCGGTTGACCCGGAGTATAGGAGCCAAAGCCCAATGCCATGCGAAATGGTGCGGAGTTTTTGCGAAGCCAACAACATCTTCATTACCTAGAACCCTACCAACCAAAGCCCAGACATCCAAAACCCTAAACCAAGCTCCCTTTGCTTCAGCTCACGCTCACGGAGAGTCTTCACCGTAGTATGAACTGAGGGCCGAAATGAGCAGCGCGGTAAATAAGGCCCAAGCCCTAAACCCCGAACCCTTAACATCCAAGAAACCTGAAGACCATCTGGGAAGAGTCCTTTGGGGTCCTTCTTATAAGGGTGCCGTACCACTGTTAGGTTCCTAAACGGGGCCCTCATTTGGAGAACTACCCATCTCAAGTCCTAAACCTTAAACCCTAAACACTGCTCGAATATACTACTAGTACAAGCTACTATGATATACTAAACAATACACTTATCTACAACAGTGCAAACCCCGAAGACCCCGCAAGGGTTCCCGGAGAGGGTCGAATCCAACATGATAGTACATGAAAAACAGTATACTACATGATAAAAAGTGCTAGTATATTATAGTCGATCGTATTAACTTGAGGTATATGAGAGTAGATTATAGTACAAATTAGTAGATTGAAGTATGTAGTTTATAGCTCTGCTCCCTTCTTCCCCAAACCCTGAGCCTCCGCCGTCAGTTTGCAGCTCAAGCTCAAAGCTCGATCTGATTCCGTCCGCGAGTCAGTTGAGGAGAATGGGTTGCACCGGAAGCACCGTCCTTGAAGGCAGAAGGAAGGCAGTCTTTCGGAATGAAGACGGAGTTACTTTGCCCGAAGTGCGCTTCAATGGGCGGAGTCACAGCTTTCACTCCATGGACGACCTGACCAATCCCTACACAGCTACCCGCGCAAGTGCCCCGGTCAAAGGCACGCACACCAGCTGGGTGAAGCAGCTGGAAAAGATCTTGAGTGAGATCAAGGACCACCCCAAAGCACTCCGGACTGTAGTCGCACAAAAACGCTTCATCATGGATCGCCAAAGCGGCGCGTATCCTTGAGTCGAACCGTGAGGCAGCCTCTTTTGCTTTCCTTGGGGATTCGGGAATCCGGCTCCCTTCTTTCAGCCTACGTACTAGGCTGATTCGGTCGACCTAAGTTTTGCGCGGCAGCAGCTGACGTGATACTGGCTTCGGGTCGTTCGCTTAAAACCGTTTATGTAATGTAGAAGCTTGAATACTTACCATTATTCTATTTCTTCAGGGCTCCTTGCCAAAAGTATAGTATGATATAGCGCCAAGCCCCATTCCAATGGTTCTGGCCACTCGAAGATCTGAACATGTAGTCCCAGCGACCCACTTTCCCACTTCCGGGCTGTTGCAGCGCCTTTGATACAGATACGTGCATCATACACGTATCATGTATCCTGGGAATTCATGCCGAATTGCATGTTGCGGAGACTTCCTCTTTCGGCTTTTCAACAGGCTTTGCTGAGGGCCCGCCAATAGACAGATGCCCTGAACGTGCGAAGATCTAGGCTGTTGTTGGACATCCCCCTGTTTTCGAATACCTACGACAGCACCGCAGACCTAGGACTTTGAAGCTTTCTTTGTTATGCACTGGCGCGCCGATCATGTGCAGACGAGCGCACCCTTGCTTTGGTTTGCTAGGCTCTGCTGCGTGCTCTGCTTCGCCCTGTGAGGCAAATCGACAAACGGGGCAACGGGCATGGGATTCATGGGCCGCCATTTGTCAAGTTGCAGGTGCCTTGCGAGTTACAAGTTCGAAGCTGTAGGTCGCCAGAGACAGGGCGGTGTTGCTTCCGCAGAGTCACTTTCCAAAAGAATCTCGATGTAGAGTCTAAGAGCTGTTTCACAAATCCGGTTCTTCCAAAACGTCGATGCTGCGAGTCCCATGAGGCTGACGGACGGCTAAATGAGACACAGCGGCCACTCGCTGGCCTGGGAGGTCGACCGGTTGCTATCAAAGCTGTTCGAGCGCACACCTTGGCTCATTTTCCAGTCTCACGTTAGTCGATATTTATACTTTTTTGTTGATGGTCCTCTCATTTCCCGTGCAGATCCATCGGAGCTACGCAACCGTAGGGCAGCAACCTTGCAGACTCGGGAATAGCTTTTCCTGGCATTGTCCGGAATTGCTTGCCCCTGTTCGTCAGGTTCTGTTGTCCTGACTGAACCTCCCGACCGCTTTTGCTGCACCTACATATATATACATATATTTACGTATGTACATATATATATATATATATATATATATGTATATATATATATACATAGATGTATGTACATATGTATACACATGTGTGTGTGTGTATCTGTATATACACACGTATGTGTCAACATAGGTGTGTGTACATGTAGTTTATGAGAGGTTAGATTATTTGTTCATGTACCTGTATATGCGTATGCATGTATGTATGTACGTATGTATGTGTGCATGTGTCTATATTGGTTTTTATGTATGTGTATTTGGTGTGTGTGTTATGTGTGTACTTATGCATGTATGTATGTAGCTGTACTGGAGCCTATGTGTTTATGCATGTGTTATGTGTGCACTTATGTATGTATGTATGTATGTAGCTGTTCGACTGCTTCACAATTTACATAATGTACATGATTCAAATCAGCTCCCTGCCATCTTCCTCCACTTTATCTAAATGTGTTGAATTATATACAAAATGCAAGCGTTAAATAGACGCTAATATATACATACGTGTTGATACACATGTCTTCACATATACATATATGCATGCATATCTATCTATCTACCTGTTGTTGTGCACACGTATATATTTTGACTATGCCTATGCATGTGCATGATTTTTCTGTATGATTACAAATCACTGTAGGGGTGCAGGGCTCCAGTAAGTGCCTCATGGGTTATACGGCCGTTCAGGGTTAGGGTTTTGGGTCTAGCCTACGACGGCTTACTCCTCCTAATACCATACACTCTTGAATTGGAAATCCTTTCCTCGTTGTCCCTAGAGAGTGGTGTTCGACGTCGCGCGCATCATCGCTCGACCATGTTTTCGCGTCTGCTTGCCTCTACCCGAGATCCGAAATCCTAAACCTACAACCATGAACCTAAATCCTAAACCGACAACCCTAAACCCACATCCCTAGTCTCTAAGCTACAGACTCCGAGAATCTCGAGCCGGGAAATCAGAGGCTGACTATTCGGATCGTAGATGTCCGATGATTGATTTATAGACCAACTCGTGGACCCTGCCATCCAGAGGAGCCCCGTATGCCCCACATTTCGTGTCGCTCTCCACCTGTGAGATGTGTACCGAAGGAAGCCCGAACTTAACTGGCTCTTTCAAAGAACCCCAGGATTTTAATAATCGGAAACACTCGGACCTGATCCCTCTACGAAACCTAAATTTTCGAAATTGTGAAGCCTGTGCACACTAAAACCGTGAACCTTCCGACCCTAGAACACCCTAGAGCTGAATGCCTACAGAACCGAACACATCACTCCAGGGAGATTGACAGGGTCCTGATATCAAACCGCTGCGCAGACAGGGTTGTGAGGGTTTGTACTGCAATGTCCTAGTTTGACATTCATAACCTCGCGAACGGCGAATGCGCGAGCTTCCGCCGCACGTCGCTGAGAGAAGCCTGGTCACCGGAAAAAGGCCTTGCGGTGAAGCAGCAACAAGTAGCCGCAGCTATGACATCATCCCCTCCACGCCGGCAAATTGCTTTTTCAGGTTTCCATGCACATCATTGAAAACAGGGCTCGGATAAGTCACTCATCAATGCCCCTCGGTTGCCAGAGTCCGTCACTTATAGTAGACATTTGTTTGGCATGAGACACCCATTCCAATCAGTAAGCGCCCCAGACTAAGCGAGTTTGTGTGCACGCACACAAATGGCGTGTTTTTTGCAGTCGGCAACTATAGACTTGATATATAGGTTTAGAGCTTTAGGGGTCTCGGGGTTTATGGAGCCGACTCTCCAACAGTTTTGATCAAGCTCCGTCATATACCTCTACGCTAAAGAGAAAAGGAACTCGTTCTAACTGTCCCTCTACAATTCTGTGACATACCCCGAGACCCTGTGCAAATATGTGTATACACTCGGGACTCCATGTTGTCACTTAGTCCTCAGCTAGACACGTCATTCGCATGGCATCTGAGTTTGGAGCGTGTCATGCGTTGTGGGATGTGTAAGGCTGTAAGGTTTATGCTGCTCGGTAACGACACGGGACGCCAAAGGTCATACGGGTCGAAACCCTGAGGAGGACAGGGCGAAGTCCACGGATCCTTATAACAAACCTTCTGAAACCTGAAACCCGAAAAGGACCCTAAAAAGCCCTAAACCCTAAACCCTCGCTCCCGGGCATCAGACAAAAAGCAGTGAGAGCCCCCCCGACTTTCCTAGTCCTAGGCCTCCATTGAGGAGACGGAGAAGCGCCTGGAGTCTCGAATCACCTCCGCTTGCTGGCAGAACAGGGGGGGTTTTCTGGGTGCTTATGGGGGGCCCTTCGGTGTTGACGCTATGGCTTAGCCCTTTATGGTATATGCAAATTAGTATATAGGTAGGCATATAGTCTATCATAATCTACGATGGCCTAGTATCGTAGTATCTCCCAGAATTGAATGGCTCCTTGCCGGGGTAAGGCATAACACTCTTGACCATCCTGCCACAGCTCCGGATCTTGCCCTAAACACCGAAATCCCTATACACCAGATCAAATCCCTGCGTAAACCCCAAAACCCCAAACTTCTACAAAAAACCCTAAGCACGGGCGAAAGAACTTTGCATGCGATCATCAGGAAGGTATGACTGCAGTTCTTCTAATGCACAGGACCACATGATGACGCGGCCGGTGATGACGGCGATACCGACGATGATGATGATGCTGATGATTCGATGACGGCGACGGTGACGATGTGCTCGGCATGTGCCACTCTCATTACTTGCAGGTGAGCTAGCCCCGAAAACCTAAACTTAAGCCCTAAACTTGCCCTCCCCAGGCCTAAGCAAGCCCGCAGCTCCTGAGGCAAGCTCCGACCATGGCATGAACCTGGGTCTCTTGGAGGGAAGAGCGGGTTCGGCGGGTGTGGGTTTAGGGCTTTAGGGTCTTTATGTTTAGTGGCTAGGGCTTCGGGGCTGAGGAACTTCAGAGGGTTTGTGCATTGGGTCGGTGTTCAGAGTTTGGCGGCAGGACTGTAGGATCCAACCAGACCATTGCCCAAGCTCCTCAACCTTTAATCCTGGTCCTCGCAAGTCTCAGACTCGAACACCCCGCGACTGAGGTCCGACAAACAGCCCCACGATTCAAGGTGCAGTTGTCCAACCCAAGCCCAGCTAAAGAACCGCTGCCAAGCAGCGAAAGGTTCTCCTACAGAATTGCCTTCCAACTGCACCGTGTCCATTCTCAATTAATCTGTACTACCCCCGAGCTTTGATAATCGGTTATAGAAGTAGAGAATATGATACAGTAACATTACCATAGCATGCTATAGAGTATATTATCTAAGCTGCCCAGTAGTACCCTTACTCCCTTTTTTGTAGTCCGAGGCTCCTTATACAGTTACCCAATACCAAAAAGGGAGCCCTTTTTATTCCTAGGCTACTGGGCATCCTAGTTATAGCCTATGAGATGTCGTCGCCACACCGGTCCCAAGGCCTCCTGGACATGTCGATTGGTGCGAAGAGCAACCGGAGCGTGCAGCACGGTGGCATTCGGTACGACAGACCAGAATTTAAGATAGTGAATGTACTGTATACGTACTATTACGATGACATGCCACAATCTACTGTGGTGAAATACTTATAACGTAAGTCTGCGGTAACCTACTATAGTTGTACTTCAGACTATACTAGAATCTATTATGGTACACTTACTACAATCTCCTGTAAGGTACTATAGTGTAACGAGTCATGATGGCACAAAGCTTCTGAGGTCGGGGATTCTGTTGAGAGCGTGGGGAAGGGTTCATGGGGTCTTGTTTGTACTTTCAGGTGGCTTTCTCGTGATGTCGTGGAGTATCTGGCTTGTGGAGGTTGTGTTTCCCATGGCGTATGTTTGTGGCTGATGCGGGACTTCAGAACTGCTGGAGTCGGTTGAGTTAGGGAACTCATACATAGGGGCCTGAATAGTCACAAGTACTTTCCGGTGGTTCCGGTTTGTGACTATAGTATGTGTACATATGTAAATACCTATATACAATATATATATATATATATATATATATATATATGTATTTATACATGTATAGAGAGAGCCTGTAACAGAGGTTAGCCCCGAAAGGCCGGAGCTGAAGAGTCCGAATCCAAGGGCCAGTGGGCGCCAGACGCCTGCAGGACATTCGACGGCGAGCCAGGACCGGACCCTGCCACGCTACGTAGCAACAGGGTCCAAGAAGCTTCCTGAGCCACTATATTACTAGAGGGGCCAAAATAATTGACAATTCTATTTTGGCGGTTGCTTATTGTATTTATAGTATAATGGGCCCCAATACCCTAGTCTATTGATTAAGGCCCCTATATCAGGTTTCAGGGGTGAGGGTTTGGGGCATCGGGCTTGGGGTTATTATTCCCCACATCACTGTGTGGGGTTCTTACTTTTTGGGGCTGTCCCGCCTCCTCCTCCTCCTCTTCCTCCTCCTCCTCCGCGACTAAACCCTTGGGGGCGAGACTCTTCCGCGACTAAAGACCCTCCCGGCCTGCTCTGGGCAAGGCCGCGCGCGCCCTGGGGGCGAGACTCTTCTGCGACTAAAGACCCTCCCGGCCTGCTCTGGCCAAGGCCGCGCGCGCGCTGTGCCCTGGGGGCGAGACTCTTCCGCGACTAAAGACCCTCCCGGCCTGCTCTGGCCAAGGCCGCGCGCGCCCTGGGGGCGAGACTCTTCCGCGACTAAAGACCCTCCTGGGCCTGCTCTGGGCAAGGCCGCGCGCGCCCTGGGGGCGAGACTCTTCCGCGACTAAAGACCCGGGCCTGCTCTGGCCAAGGCCGCGCGCGCGCTGGGGGCGAGACTTTTCCGCGACTAAAGACCCTCCCGGCCTGCTCTGGGCAAGGCCGCGCGCGCGCTGGGGGCGAGACTCTTCCGCGACTAAAGACCCTCCTGGCCTGCTCTGGCCAAGGCCGCGCGCGCGCTGGGGGCGAGACTCTTCCGCGACTAAATCCCCTCCCGGGCCTGCTCTGGCGGAGGACGCGGGCGCCCTGGGCGCGAGACTCTTCCGCGACTAAATCTCGTCTTCGGCCTGCTCTGGCCGAGGCCGCGCGCGCGCTGGGGGCGAAACTCTTCTTCGACTAAATCCCCTCCCCGGCCTGCTCTGGCGGAAGCCGCGCGCGCGCGCTGGGGGCGAAACTCTTCCGCGACTAAATCCCCTCCCCGGCCTGCTCTGGCGGAAGCCGCGCGCGCGCTGGGGGCGAGACTCTTCCGCGACTAAATCCCGTCCCCGGCCTGCTCTGGCGGAAGCCGCGCGACTAAATCCCGTCCCCGGCCTGCTCTGGCGGAAGCCGCGCGCGCGCTGGGGCGAGACTCTTCCGCGACTAAATCCCCTCCCCGGCCTGCTCTGGCGGAGGCCGCGCGCGCGCTGGGGGCGAGACTCTTCCGCGACTAAATACCCTCCCCGGCCTGCTCTGGCCAAGGCCGCGCGCGCAGACACACACAGAAACACACACAGACACACACAGACACACAAGACACACACAGACACACACACAGACACACACACACACACACAGACAGACACACACACACACACACACACACACAGACAACACACACACACCACACAGACACACACAGACACACACCGACACACACCGACACACACAGACACACACCGACACACACCGACACACACAGACACACACACAGACACACACAGACACACACACAGACACACACACAGACACACACAGGACACACACAGACACACACAGGACACACACAGACACACAGAGACACACACACAGACACACACAGGACACACACACACACAGACACACAGAGACACACACACACAGACACACACAGACACGCAGACTCGCAGACACGCAGACACGCAGACACCCAGACACACAGACACAAAGACACACAGACACAAAGACACACAGACACACAGACACGCAGACACACAGACACACAGACACAAAGACACACAGACACACAGACACGCAGACACACAGACACACAGACACACAGACACAAAGACACACAGACACACAAACACACAGACACAAAGACACACAGACACACAAACACACAGACACAAAGACACACAGACACACAGACACGCAGACACAAAGACACCCAGACACACAGACACACAGACACACAGACACACAGACACACAGACACTCAGACACCCAGACACACACTCACACACTCACACACTCACACACTCACACACTCACACACTCACACACTCACACACTCACACACTCACACACTCACACACACACACTCACACACTCACACACTCACACACCCACACACACACACTCACACACACACACACTCTCTCTCTCTCTCTCTCTCTACACTCGCACACCACACATGCACACATCATACACCCTACACCCACGTACGCACTCACAGCAGCACTCACTCATTCGTTCACTCACACACTCATTTACTCCCTCACTCATTTACTCTTCTGCACCTTTGTGTTCTATATGAATGGATGATCTTCACATGTGGGGTTATCCGGTCCTTTAATCTTCAGTAATAGTATCGGTATTAGCTCTAATCATAGGAAACCACCAAGGCCTGTTGAAACTGTTAACTAGGCTAACGAGGCCTCATTTGGGATAATTTGGTCAGCTCCCCTTCTCGTGTAATACAGAGGCCTAATTAGAACTCATGTTGGGAAAAGTTCAAATCGGTCAGGGTGTAGCGATCAGAGCCAAGGCTAAGAGTGTGTGGGGCATGGGTTTCTGGACAAGCTTTCGGTATGAGGATGTGTAGGATTTCGTCAGGGTCTTTGGGTTTCACGGTCTTGAAAACGTCAGAGTATCAGTATAAGAGAGACTACAAGGGAAAGACCTTACTAAATCCCATAGTCCGAAGCACGAGAAGTCTGCAATCATAAACCTGAATGCCCTGAACCTCCTTAACCCGAAACACACCCAGGAGGTGGGTGGCCACATGAATTCCGGATTGGCGAAGTTGGTTGCAGTCTCAGTCTCCGGGCCTGTGTGCGTGTTCGCTTCAGCCTCATCTTGAGCAAAGGATTTTTGTTGTTCTTGTTTTACGCATGGTCAGGATTATCAAAGGGGGGTGTAGCATTAGTTCTGATGATTACTAGCATCAGTCCTGTTCTATACTTCTGACACACCTAGAGTATTGTTACTGCACCGTTTGCGCATGATTATTGGCCTTGCCGAATTTTCCCAAAGGCGGGGCAAAGGGTCTTTTCCGCGGAAGCGGTTGGGATGGTATGAAATGAAAATGTTTACGTGAAGGCAACCTTAGGTTGTCGTGAGGTTGCACCGCGTGCGTTTGCGTGAGGTCGGTGGGTCCGTTGGTTTTCGTCAGGCTGTCTCTGATGTTTTTATCCAGACAGATCTTTCTTTAATGCAGGGCACACAGTGATAGCCTGCCGCGACGGTGTGTGCACGAATTTGGCAACCCTCGGCTGATGGGTCACGGCGTGTCTTTGTCGTCCGATGGCATTGCACGTGTAGTTTACTGCGGGGCTTGACGGAAAGGTTGATACAGAATGGTCTGATCTATATAAGTTCTTTCGGGACGCTGATTCTACTGTGGTTGAAGGGGGGATTGGGGTGTTCCAGGTCAGAGCACGGAGATCCGAAACGTGGGGAACCACCGAGTGTTCCTTCAGCCTCAGGGTGCTCTACAGCCCTAAATTCGCAAAGCCCTGACCTCGAGAATCTCTCTATGATCTCAGGGTTCAAGAAATAGGGTTGGGTAATTGGAGACAGTTTTGGCTTGCGCCCTAGGGATAAGATGCCTAAATCCTTGCGCCAAATTTTAAGTGCGTGGTTGCCATTCGAGTTCTGTTGAGGAATTCGACCCTACGAGGTTGCTTCTTGTTCAGGCCCCTGAATTAGCTGCTGTGTTGCACGCGAGCGGGTGCTATAAGCCCTCCTGGCTCGTAAAACCTTATGGAACCATAGTTAAAGCCCTCCATCCGTCTATCCACCTCTACGTGTATTGCTATGACAGATACATATGTACATGTATTTAATGTATTTATATATATATATATATATATATATCTACATGTGATGCATATATGTCGATGTGATGTGTGAAACCCTAAACAGGAACCCCAAAACTCAAAATCAAAACACGCTGGACGGTCATCTGGTTAAGGTCGGCGAGATGGATGCGGAGTTGCGGATGGAGCTGAAACTTCGCTCGGGTTTACGGTGCAGGGTTTGGCATGCTGTGGGTATTCGGCAATTCGGGCTTGGGCTTCCAGGGCTTTAGGAGTGTGGGGTTTGGGATGTAAGACTTAAAGGTTCTGCATCGAAGGTTCGAAGCTCGAGTTCTGCATTGTTCCGAGCTTTCGGGAGGTTTTGCTGAGGGATCCTGCCACAGGTCTGATTTCGGAGTATTGAAGCCACAGCTCTAGCCTGAACACGTGAAGCACTGAGTTGGGTCGTAGATCTTCATCCCTGAGAGTCTCTGAACTCTTCGACCCCCATCCGATCCCCCAAGGTTTTAGGGTTTAGGGTTTGGACGGTTTAGGGTTTACAACCTCAAGCCCTTCAAGGTGAGTGCCCCGCAATTGACTACAGAGAGCTCTTAAACTTGAACACTACGGCTACGCTCCTAGCTTCTTCCTTAATTAAGTTGTCCTATACATTCCCTGCACGCCCAAACCCCACCCTGCACACCCCACCTGCAAACCCAAGCCCTGTACATGCTACAAGCCCGCCGAACCCTGAACCCTGTAAACCTAGCCCCCAATTCCTATACCCTACAGCTCTAAACTTAAACCTCTACCCGAAACCGTAAAGACTAAACCTAAGATCGAATTCAGCTCAAACAAAAGATATATAAAGAAAAGGAACAGCCGCCTCCGCATGTTGAACGGCGAGCTGAGACGGGGCCGATATGTTCTTTTCCTTTTGGGGTTTAGGGTTTAGGTTTAGGGTTTGGGGTTTTGATGGGTCTTCTTATCATTATTGATTAGAGTATAGGGCTTCTCTATCAGATCCCTTTTTCGGAGTCTCAAACAGTAATGCCACTACTGGTTAGGATTCTTTAGAAAGGGGATTGGGGCAGGGGATCCAGGGCTTTCGGGTTATTAAGGTTGTGTTGTTTTGGCTTAGGGTGTAGGGCCTTTGCATACAGGGTTCGGGGACTGGGGCTTCAGAGTTCGCATGTGCATGTATGCACGTATGCATACATGCATACTTGCATGCAGACATACATGAGAACGTACATATGTACATATACAGGTACATACATATCTTCACAGTACATAGATGCTCATGTTACACTCTAGGGTTTCGGGTTTGGGGTTATAGTTCATGTTTCATATCATGTAGCAATGATCGGCTTTGTCATCGCTGTCTTCGCTCGTCTTCGTTGTCTCTGGCGTGAGCCTGGTGTTTTAACCCATGTTTCCAACCGAGAGGCTAAGCTCTCAACTCCAAGGTACATGGACGAGTGAGTTTTGCTCATTGGCGCCTGAACCGCCCTCCAACTGGCTGCTTGAAAAGTTGAATCACGTAGTAGATAGGTCGAAAATAGCATATTGAACATGAGTATGGACGGCGCTTTCCAAATCAATATCTACCTACTCATGCTGCTACACAAACTACTCCCGAACCTGATGAAGACCTAGTTACTACAGTTACCATTCCGGCCCGGCAACTTCTACTACCCTAAAGCCCTCTACCCTAAACCAAAAGTGCCTAAGTTTCTGCTGCCATCGAAGGAAGTCAGAGTTGATGAAGGAGGTGGCCGTGCGCTGCGCAGCAGTCGAGGCAAGCGTTCCTGCATGCTTCATGCAGTTACGGTTCAGGGATTTAGGGGTGCAGGGGCAAGGATTTAAGTGGTTTAGGATTTGGAGTTGGCTGTTTCTTTAGCGCTTGGTGCCTGGCTGGTTTTGGAGTTTCGATCTGTCTGTTGATGGGATCCTTTGAACAAGGTTCGTGTCGCCTACCGCTTTCGAGAGTGCCCTCCTTGTGTTGCACTGGCCCTGGTCATACGAGGCATGCTTTCCATTCAAACGCAGATAGAAGGCATGTGCTTGCCAGCTAAGAACAGAGGTCTTTAAGTCTTTCTGCTAGACGGAGCTGGTTCCTCGTGTTTTCGCTCGGCTCTCGAGTACCAGATTGCTCAGAGACCGGGATGGCGATCCTATCATTGTTACAATGACTACCACTGTGGTGCTACTGTTATTGTGATATTTGTCATAGGCCATTGTCAAGCTATTGGTACAACTACCGCTGAGAGGGGGCCTCTCAAGAACCCTCAAATTTAAAGGCTTCCTTAGGGCTTCCAGTGCCAGTCATATGTGGCACTGGCATGAAAAGCCACCCCTTTCCCCCTCGAGGTCCGTCTATCGCAACGGATCCTTACAGCAACCCGTATGGCCGTATGGAGCCTGACCCTGTAAAAGGAACCTTATTACAATTAGTTCAATACCTCTTCGGGCCTACGCAGGACGAGATCTGTTAACATGACTCGAACGTCTTGGATCCCTAGGTGCAGGCATTTGCACATCGACCTGTCGACGTGTCGAACTACATCTACCTGAAGTCTCTTGCGTGCTCATGTCTCTCAAACTTGCAGCTGCGTCCAAAAAATTGAGGGCTTAAGAGTTTGGTGTCGCAACTTCGAGAAGCCATTAGGCTCGCTGCGGCGCCGTGGAGGCTGACCTCAGGGCCAAGCCGGGCTCTCAGCCTTGAAGGAGAATTTGGAGGCCTGGTTCCTGATTCTTGCGCCTCTGCAACAGTAGGGTTCTATGGGGCTTCTAGTATTGCTTCCTCGCAAGATTTCGGAGTGAACGGCCCATCCTGGAATCACATTGTCCCGGTAAATGAGAGACTGAATGCGGTTGAGGCGTTCAAAAGCCTGAGACGAAATCCCAGGATGGTCTGTGCCACGGACCTGAAAACGCCTTTGGCGACTTTTGGTTAGGTGTTTGCCGAAGCATCGCTCGGGTCCTGCTCAGCACCGCCTGCCAATCAAAGCCCATACGGTTTCGCATTTGCGCTGGGGAAATGATGCTGTTTGTCCAAGCGCCACCTGACAGATGCTTGCGAGCTACGATGCCGATTCCAGCATCCGCATGCACGCGAGAGACACGGCGAGACGGAGAGAGAGAACGCGAGAGAGGCGTAGATAGGCTGCAGAAGAAGAAGAAGAGAGTAAGAGGCAACTCTCTGAATAGTCTGCTCTCAGGGTTTCTGATGGCCTTTGAGAGTAAGAGGCGCAACTCTCTGAATAGTCTGCTGCTCTCAGGGTTTCTGATTGCCTTTCGGCCTTTAGGTCTACTGCTTGACCCGGCCCTAAACTCGATTAGAAGCTCCTCGGCCTACCTCTCTGCCAGAAGACATCCAAAGACTCTAAGAGCCCTACTAAACCTAAGAGCCCTGGCCAAGGCATAAACCACCTCTTCTGTAGGGGCCGAAAGAATTACCAATATATACTATTTTGGGGGGGCTCCTCGATATGTTTATAGTGGAATATACCTAAAACAGGCCTATTCTTATTATGAATGCCTCCACAGTCTTTTGGGGTTCCTTATTATGTTCATGGTAGAATGCACCCCAACACAATCCTATCCCCATCATGCAAGGCCGCATATCGTAAATCGTCCTTGCCCCTCCAAGGCTGGGAGGTGTCACCGACGAGCTTCAGCCGCGGTTGAAGAAATTGGAGGCTGCCCGAATCAATGAAGCTACACTTTGGGGTTGCCTTATAGAATCCTGAATACAGAAGTTGGTTAACCAAAAAAGGCACTACCATGGAGGCTACAGTCTCTCCAAAACTCTACTAAGGTCTGGATCTGCCAAATCCCAGCTCCACGGTTCGGGCTTCCGGTTAGCGCATGAAGTCTCTGTCAAGTGTGCCCGTGTGTCTCCAAGCTCACTGTAGACAAGACTTGCATCCCTTGGAAACCCTAAATTAGGCCCTGGCCCTAAACCCTAAACCCTAAACCCTAAACCCTAAACCGTAGCTGGAAGCATGGGGTGTCAAGCCGAATATCTCCGAAGAACCATGCCAACAGCGCAGGCGATGCAGCTTCCAACCCGCGTGCAGAACCTGGAGCAAGAGGCATCATGGCATCTGGTCCTTTCCCTGTTTACACAGGGTATAAAGCACTTCCGAAACCTTAAAACTCCGGCAAAGCCTGTCTCTAACTCTTCTGATTGCAGGGGCTAGACCTGGAACCTGAAGTGCCCAAGCCCCTCTTCAGTTACCTGCTGCACTATCGGACGTCAGTAGACTGGTGTCGAAGTGCCACAGTTACTCACCGCCTTCAAAGTCCCACGCATCCTTACACCGTTCAAAACCTCAACCATGTACCAAAGACATCACGGCAGAACACGATTTGCACGATGGCCTAACGATGAGTGCAAGCAGAGCAGTACAGAACCACCAGTAGTGGCGTGCTGTACAAGAGTAGCAAGAGCAAGCTCAGTTTGGAATCAGGCCGGACCTGTCCTGACTCAGATAGTTAATGAGAGGCCCAGTGTAGGCCAACCGTTCTAGATTCGTGGGTGGTAACCCGAAGCAGAATGAGAGGAGACTGCAAAGAAAGCCCCCAGGTGAAACGTACCAGCTACACCCTGGGCGAAGCTATGTCCGAGCGCGGCCGCACCAGCACACAGGGAAATGCCCCCCGACTGGGTTATTGTGGTAATGCTTTGGGGTTTGTGGCAGACTTCGTAGATCTAGAAGTTTATGGAAGCACTCTGTTGCAGTTAGGGATTGACGTCTTCAGGGGTTCAAGTTTGAGGCTCGCAGCTTCGCATTCTAGGGTGCCTGCCGTACGACTTACTTTGTCTCCCTCGTGAGTTTACCTTAGGCCATGTAATCCCCGTTCTTTGGGGGAGCTGTTGCAGGATATCCTACGATGCTGCCTCCCCAACAGACGCGAATCCACCGAAGGTACAGCGTATGTCTTCGGGTTCGCCAAGTGCTGTGACGCCTGGACGCAGCCTGAGCCGACGCGGCTTGGAGGCCAGGTGCCAGAGCAGTGGTACTAGTAGCCGTCGTCTTCGGCGTACCAGGACTACCACGATTTCTGCCACACCCCTCCCCCTCCTTCGCCCCCCACCTTAGGGTTTGGGGTTTACGGGTTTAGGGTTACACGCGCAGGGCGCGTGCGGTTTACGGGTTTAGGTCTATAGGGTTTAGGGCTTGTACTTAGTAGTTATAAGCAGTACCAGTATTAGTACATTAGTAGTACTATTAGTATTTTACAGTTTAGGGCTACGCGCGGCCGGCACGTGTGGTTTACGGTTGAGGGTTTGGGTTCAGGGCTTTGTTGTTAGTCGTTATACGTAGCAAGAGTATTGAACGTACAGGGTTTAGGGCTTTTGGGGTTGAGTCTGTTGGGGTTTTACGGTTTAGGGCTTAGAGTTTGTAGATCGTTAAAACTCACCATGGTATTAATATCATCGTTTTTAGTATCTAGGGTTTTCAAAGTTTGGGGACTTACGGTTCAGTGCCTAGGGTTCAGGGTTTAGGCTGTTTAGGTTTTTTCGGATGTAGAGTTTTAGGTTTTACGATGGGGTTTACGGTTTGGACTGTTGGGTTTTTGCGGGTTAGGTTTTAGGGTTACGCGGACATGGCGCCGGCGGCTTGCAGTTTTAGGATTAGGGTTTAGGGTTTGCAGTTAGTTAGTAGTACTGAAATGGTTTAGGGTTTAGGCTGTGGGGTTTTGACGGTTTAAGAAGGTTTAGGGGTTTCGCGTTGTACTGTTTAGAGTTTCGGCTGTTGGGGTTTTATAGCTTATGGTTCGGGGTTACGCTCGCCCAGCGTATTAGTAGTAGTTTTATCATGTTTAGGAGTTTAGGGATTAGGGTTTAGGGTTTAGGGTTCTGGGTTTGGTAGCACTACGGTTAGCCGGTTAGCACGAGTACCATCACCAAGATAAACCCCCACACTCCCTTCGAACCCCGCCCTCCGACTGCAAGTGGTGCAAGTGCTGCAAGTGGTGCAAGATTGCAAAATCGAACCCTTCCCCCCGTCAGCGATACTCGACCCAGTTTTCCAAGCCTGCGCGTGCAAACTGCCACCCCCGGAGGCGACCAAGCTGCTGTGTCATCTTGCCCCTTCCCCCCATTTTGGGGCCCAACCAAGCTGCCGGATGGGCATACGGTCTCGGTCGGTGATCGGCTCTCGCGTGCCGGCACACATTATTGTTGTCATTCGCATTGTTATCATAACTGCCAGTCACTATTATGATTGTTGTCATTAATGTTAGTATTCTTACTGTTACTATGGTCGCTATTAAAGTATTACTTGTTTAGTATTCGCATTAGGACTATTATGGTTTTGATATGATAAATATTTTTAGTAGTGGTATTTAAGTTGGTATTGTTCTTACCCTTATTATTGCTATTACTTTCATTAATACTGTTGTACTACTGTTACGATTATGAAAGTTAGTATTGTACTTGTTAGTGCTTCTGTTATGATAATGATGGTCGTGATAGTTCTGACGATGACTATGATGATTGCTCTTCTGATTTTGTGTTATCACTATTACAGGCGGCCGGCGCTCAAGACCTCGAGTCGACCGTGGCCGAGGCCGTTCGCAAGGCCTTGGGCTGGGAAGATGAGGGCGCCGAAGGGTGCACAGGGGGTATTCGTATATGTTTTCACGAGATATAAGATGTAGCATATATCATATGTAAGATTTGCCTGTAAATCCCGGCTCTTACAAGGATGCGATCGATTTGAACGATGTGTTTTTGCCGGAGTGTTTCAAGGATTTTGATGCACTGGTTGATTCGTCCGACAGGTTACTTCTCGGGGCTCGTGTTGTCGTTCATGCGTTTTGCAGGCAACAATAGCTACGCAAGCAGACGGAAAAGCATGTGAGTCGCTCGAGTCTAAACTCTTACCAGCTCCGGAGCCCCAGACCCCTTACTATCAGTTTCACTCTCGTAATTGCTACCACTCTGAGTATTTCTATCATTCGTATTTCGATCGTTATTGAAAGTAAACCTGAGAGAGTTCCTCTACTACAGGGACTTGACGATTGGGTTCGGCGACAATGCCCTCTCTGCTTACTTGGTTTTACCAGGAACCATGTAGCTTTTCTTTGCAAAACCTCATTCTAGGTCCTGCGCATGCCTGGCTAGCTATCTATCTGCCCATCTTTCTGCCCACCTACCTATCTATCCGGCTATCGAGCTAACACTTCAAAGCGAAACCATCTTGTACCCCCTGTACGCATGTATGTATGCATGCAAGTGTATGTGTATGTATGAATGCATGCATGGATGTCTGTATGTATGTGTATGCATATGAATATGTAGATGTAGATGGATATGCATATGCATGTACTTAGAATGTATGTGTGTTTGTACACATAAACTGATCACTAAAGTACAGTAAACCCCAAACCCTCTTCTGATAATGAAAAGTTCATACTCCAAAACCTGATGACCCTGGTATAAAACCCGGGCCCTTACAAGACAACACCCTTCTGGAAGAGCTTGCATTCGAGGCCCTGGGGGCTCGGCCTGAGATGAGCCCAAAACGACCGGTCTCCGTGGTATCCACACAGGTGGTGGGGGAGGGGAGGGGGTCCGTTAAGGTTTGGTATTCAGCATTAAGGACCCTAGGGCCATTTAGGGTGTTCAAAGGGTTCCATGAACGGCTTCATAAAGGCTCCGTATGGATTCTAGAATCTAGAAGGCTGTCGTTTGTGCTTATAGGTTTGAAGGAGGACTTCAAAGTTATTGAAGACGGTTCTTGACGCTTTAGCAACTTTTTCGGTCTTGTTGGCCCTCTGGGGTTGCTTGCAGGTCTTATGCGTTGTTGAGGATTTCTGTGAGCTGGCAAAATAGCAGTGTTGGCTGTTCGGGCTTGCGTAGGGTTTGGTGCTTGGGTTTCGAGCATCAGTTTTTAGAGTCGAGCGCTCTAGGCTTTGCGGAAAGGATGTAGTGAAGGTATATCGCAGTAAATCGTTAAACCCTGGGCTCCACAACCTTCAAACCATAATGCGCAAAAGAACCCCGCCCAGGTAGATCTGAAACTGCCTGGGAACTAAGTTGCTGCAGAAGTAACCAAGGTTCTTTGGGTCGCAGAGTAGTTTCCAGACCGCGGAAGCAGTCCGTAGGGCTCTTGTAAGACATGTAATACCCTTCTAATCTTAGGGTTTAGGGTTTAGGGTTTAGGGTTTAGGGTTTAGGGTTTACCCTTCTAATCTTGTTGGGTTCTTTGGCTTGAGCTGTGCTGGACAGTTTGGGTGCTGTGTACTGGAGCTCGAGAGCTGAGTTTCGGCAAGGCTCAAATATCCTGCTTTGGTGTCAGTGCACTCCCAGCAACTCGAACTTCAACCCCTAAGCTACACAACAACCCTGAACCCTAAACGGCCTAAACCGCCGCCCTGTGAGGAAAGCGAGGGCGGAGAATCTGGCATGCCACGTTGCGGGCTCAGTCGCTCTCTCGGGCAAAGAGGATCTAAGAACGTTGAAACGACATAGCCGGGGTTAGAATTCACGGTTGAAGCCACGGCGTCACAAGTGTATGGATTCCTTTGTTCAGAAACCATAATTGAGATCCCATTCTCATGATGCATCTGAATTTTCACGCTGGATCAACTGCATGGTGTCCTAGACATACCAGCCGATACACCATAGTTATACAAGAGGCATCAGAATTCATAGCAACACGAATATGAACAAGCACAGACAGGTGTGTATATAAATACGCACACAAAGTGATTGATTTGCTTTTGTAGTTGCTTATTTACTCCACTACCGTGATGTGTACATGCGTACACGTAACATATATATATATATATACATACACATGTATGTGCACAAATGTTTTCCCTTCAACAGCAATACGCTTTTGTTTGTAGCTCCATCGCCCCGCACAGTATGCTAAATCTATGACACCGCCGACTCGTGCACAAACCTCGTTATCTGTATATGACCATGACATCGAAACACCAACAACACTGGAAAGTATTGGCTACAATCCAGTCTGTCTCAGAGCTGAAACCCAAACAACCCAGCAAAGCAAAACATGCCAGTAAGTACTGCCAAGAACCCCGTTACCCAAAAGCAATCCTACTGAGCATTGCCCCAATGTAAGTCACAAATCGCCACAATGTCGAAGTACAGACATCCTACTGCTACTGATGCTGGTATGCTATTGTTACTCTTACTGCCACACCTTCTGCTACTGCCACTACGCAATGGGCTTCATACTGGACAAATATCGACAATGACAGCCTAGACGGCCTAGACCCTAGACATAAAGCTTAAACTTGTCGTCGAGGCGCTTCAATCCGAGCCTCATCCCCTGTGGTGGAGGCGCTGTCGACAACTCTGAAGGCATCGGGCTTTGCTTGTGTTTTTGTTTATGGTTTTAGGATCATCGTACCGTCGTGCGCTCAAGGATTACTTGCTGTGGCCGCCTTGTGTGTGGTTGGATCCCCCAGGTTGTGCCAAGCGGACTCGTGCCGTGTCCGTATCTTTGCAATGCAGCTTTCGAATTCAGGTTCCGCCGATACTTCCGCAGCACCCTGTTGTGTTGGTAAAGAACTCGTCGAGGGTACAACCGACCATGTCGTTCGTCGAAAGGTTTGGATTTCAAGATTCTGGATTCGCCGATGCTTAAGGGACCTAGTCAGATAGCGTTTAGCCTTAAGACACACTTGCTCAGTACCCTGACCCTCCACATATTCCCCTGGCCTGTGAAATAATCCATGAAAGCCTTAAAAGAGCTTATGAAGACCTGCAAAACACTCTGTGCCCAATCGTGTCACATAGCCGCTGTATAGCTCTTCTGACGTGTGTCAGCAACATGATACAACCGTAGAAGCACGATATTGAATCCCAGTTTAAATCCCATGCGGTTTGTCTAGACTGCAAACCACATATTGAGAATCCTTAAGAGGTGAGAAGAAACGGTCTAGGGGGGGGGCCAAGACTAATGGAGTCCAGAAACTTGTTCTAACTATCAGGCCCCTACATTACGGCTAACGCCGGCACCGGCAGGAGAGCCTTGAGAAGGTCGTCTCAGCCGTGACCCACTCGGTCCTTGCGTCAGAGCCTTGAAGTTTAGGAATTTGGCGGTTTTGGGCGTCGAGAGGGAGGGTGGAAAATCTGGGGCTCTTGGTGGTTTGGAGGGCTTAGGGTCCAAGAGCCTTGGGTGTCAGAAGGGTTTCTGCTTCTCTTGCCCGTCCATGACCCTGAGGCTCCCGTCCGCTAGACCTGTAATCGATGCTCGGGCCTGCCCTTCTGGTCGCGCCGCCACAGATCTGTAGGGAGGCAAGAGGGTTGTTCATGCGGAGACCACCCCTCTCTCGTGACCCCCTTGCAGGCACCTCTTCTGATCCCCATCGGGGCCGTTAAGTTCATGTAGGGCCCTCTTAGCAGACAGTCCACGCTGATTCTGGTCTATGTTAGGGCCTGTCCCTTGCAAAGAGAACCTAGAGGGTTTACATATGGTACAAATATTTTTGTTTGGGCCCACGTCCAAGGCAGTTATACCTGAAGCTTGAAGGTAAACGTCGAGGTTTACAAGGACCGTGGAGCTAAATTCCTACCTGCTATGCCTCCTAAGTTTAGACCCCACATCCCCCCAACACAACAACAGCACACACACACACACACATAACAGAAAAGCAAGAAAAAGAGCGCAACCCAAAGGCGTTCAACCCCAAGTTCATCAGTGATCAGGTCCCAAGGCAACGATCCTTCGGCCCGATCCCCCTACACGCCGGTTCCCGCTTCCAGGTGCGCTTTAAGGAGGGTTGGGGCGTTTACGGAATGTAGAGCGGTTGATGTCTGGTTTCTGGTAGATGCAGGGTTTGTTACACAGCTTCGGGCTCTCGGTCTTTTTGTGTTTACTTTTTCACGCGTTAGGCCGTATGTCCTGTTGTCTTGGGGTTTATCAACGACAAGCGCTGGGGCTTGCTCTTGCTGCAGTACACGCAACTGGAAGTGCGGGTTGCAAGGCTTGTCGGATCGGATGAAGTCTAGACTTCAGTGTCAGTCGTGTTGCAACATAAACTTTTGGCCTGACCGAATGGGGGCCTGAACACCCAGCGGATCTCTGGGGCATCGGAGTTATGTATCCAGAACCCTCTGGGCTCGGCCAAGGAATTTGGCAGGCCCGAAACATCTCTTGTTGAATGTATGGCACATCGTCAAACGAGCTTGCGGTCTAGTCGAGTCTGCCCCAGCTTTGCTGGGTTTCGATTCGGGATAATGCGCAATTTCCCTTACAGCTTTACTTCGAGCCCCGCTTATTACTAAATTTTGGGGACTGTTGAAATCGACACAAAAATCGGAACTGGAAGCAAAGCCCAAGGTTGAATTTTGCCCCAATCCCAAACCTAAACCCTCAGACCTGAAGAACCTACAGTCTCCATTCCTAAATCCGAAATATGGTAGAAGTTCCGAAATACAGTAGAAGTTCCGAAATATGGTAGAAGTTGGTTCAACCAAAGGAAGGCCCTACAATGGAGGCTGTAGGAAGAGTGCAGACTTCAGGTTCCTCGGAGGCTCGGGCAGCTCTTGAACCCAATCCCAATAGACTCCGATAATTTCCCCCTTCTATGCTGTACCAAGCCTTGAAAGTTTGAGGAAACCCCGCAAAGCCCACCGAAAATTCTGATTAAACCCTCTCAGCCACGTACCAAGAGCAAGCCCGAAGCTTCAAGCCCTGGCGGAGCTGGGAAATCCGACACGCAGTGGGTTTCGAGTGAAATTGTTTCGGTTTTATGGTTTCCAATATTTGGCTATTGCAAGCTTTAAGGCCCCGTCAACTGAGGCTTGGGACCTTGGGTGCAACCCGCTAGCAGACCTACCCTTGAGCTTGAACTAAACTGTTGATACTTCGAAGGTAGACTTTGGAAGGAGCCTGGGCCTCACCTACTCCCCTAAACCCCAAACCGCCCAAGACCCTTATAGTAGCCCTTGCAGAGGCCACAAGGAATTCTCTTACTGGAACAGACAAAAGAAGACTACGACAGCGTTTCTGCCAGGGTGGTGCGAACGCCCTCTGCACAGCGACAGGGAGGCCTGGTTTGTTGGTCCAAAGCCCAACTTCAATTTTGGGACACTCGTGAGGTAGTTTGTAATTGGGAAGTAAGAGGCGTTTTGCTTCTGCACCGTTGAGGGTGTCAGGTTCGGTGCCCAGGGTTTTCGGCTCGCTGTTCAGCCTTATGCTTCTTGAGGAGAGTTCTTCAGAGTTGGTGTCGAGTTTAGGTTTAGCTATTCAGCCTGATGCTTCTTGAGGAGAGTTCTTTAAAAGAGCTTGGGGCCATGGCCTGAAGGGTTTGGACACGGGGCTGGGAGGGTCTCAGGGCGCACACGCATGGTCCAATCGCCATGGTCATGCAGTCTGTGCCTTTGATGTGCAAGGAGTTGAAGCTTTGCTTTTAGCTCTCTTACGGTACCTCCTTGCACCCGAACCAGAAGCTAGCAATGTAGCACCATGCTCTAAACGGCCCTTTTTCCCCTAACCCGAGCACCAGAGAGCGAAATCTCTCGCTGAGACTAATGGCCGAGCATGAGCTTCAGCCTCTGGCGCCCGATCCATGTGACAGTGACTCCGGATGTCCGGGTTCAGGATTTAAGGCTTGAGCCTCATCATCCTAGGCCGGAGAGTTAAAAAAGACTTGCACTCTAACAGCCCAAGCTCTTCAATCCTACGCCGAATGCCCAAAGGCACCTCAAACCTAACGCCTAAAGCCCTAGCCCTGCTCCTGCCAGGACCCATGTCCTACTGCCCGCCAAACCAACCCTCTCCATCTCCATGTTCACGATGCTCGTCTTCGAAGACGCAGGTTGTGTATTCAATGTGGGCGGTGGCTGCACGTTGTAGAAGGCCCTGTCACTGAAACAGCATGATGTCAGGGTGCATAGTTGAGACTTCAACCTCCCACCTCACGAGATCAACCCCAGGGCCGAAGTTGTTCCTAGCTACTCGCATTTTTCAGATCCTAAAACCTAACACTACATGCCCCTAATTGACCGTTCGATCTCCAGACCGAATCCCTATCTTCCATTTCAGGATTATGGTTCTGTTGCCCCGCCACCAGGGTCAGTCCAAATGTGTCACCAGGGCTTGAAGTCGTTGTTTTCGGGTTTCAGGACTCTCTCCTAGAGCCGAATCCCATGCTCTCTCTCTCTCTCTCTCTCTCTCCGTGGCTCGCTCTCTTCTCTGTCCTGCACCGACATTGCAGACACTGCTTTTGACTTCATCGTTGAGTCGACGCAGTTGGGCGACGGAAGCGAGTAAGCTTGAATGAACCGCTGTGGACCTTTCCAAGCCAAAGATCCCCCCGAGTTGCAGTCACTGGAAGCCCAAGCCTTCCAAGCAGCTCTGAAGGGTCGGCGGAGCCTCGGACCTCAGGGTTCATGGTTACAGCTTCATCGGGGTTTGGGGAGTGTACAGTTTTGGGGCTTCTGGGGCTCAAAGGGTGGATGGTTTCGGCCTTTCGGGTACAAGCGCCGGCTGCCTAGGATTTCTGCAATCTCCCGATGGTCGCCAGAGCAGCTGCTTGGATCTTACAGTTTGGGGCCTTTTCCACGGAGGCCGAAGCGGTTTAGAGCTTAGCGCCTAGAGGGGTTAGTGCATGGAGAAAAGCTCCGTGCTCTTTTGGGTTACAGTCCATTCCAGAAAACTTACAATGACACCGGCTCGATGTGACCCAGATTGCAAAACAAGAACCCTTGTAGGGATCGTTTATCCTGATGACAATCTGCTGAAGGCTACCAGGTTCCGGCCGCATCACCGCCAAAAGCAACGCTGCCCGGGCGACCAACGTACGCAGCACCGAGGACAGCAGGGTTGAACTGACTCTCCTTGTCAGCACCCTTCAAGGAGCGTTGGGCTTGAAGCTTAGGGTTCGCGGCTTGTGGTATTGTTGTTTAGGGTTGAGGGCTTTTGGTGGAGAGTCTTGTGCTCCGCGGCTCTCGGTGTCGTGAGAGGAGAAGTAACAGCATCAGTACGAATCGTCGTCATCGAAGCAGCTATGATAGCTCCGAGTTCAATCGCATGCCATAGCGGCTAGCAGAGGTCTGAGGCGAGCCTCATACTTTTCAGCTGTGTTTCTTCTCGTGTCCGGGAGCCTGCGAGCCTGCAGTTCTCTTTTTTGCAGAGTTTAGGGTTGTTTTGGTCGTGCGTGGTTTTGTTCTTCAGGCTTGATGCCTCGCATTTCTATTTGTCGCTTCTGCTTTCCGGATTAGGTCTAGCCCGGAACAGACCCCGATCGAAGGACTCTAGACTTTTGTCGGGTTCAGGCGTCAGCGAAGTTGCCAACATGCGTTTACCTTCGGAGTGCCCGACCCCAAGAGAACCTCGACCCTCGATCCCGAATTGGGGCTCAGGGCTTGGGTCCCTCATTCCAGAGCCCTAAGCTTCAGAAAGCTGAATCCCGCAACTTCCTGAAAGCTTCCCAAAATCCGCACGCCCCCAGACCCTAAACCCTTGAACCCTTAAACCCTAAACGAACCCATGAACCCTTAAACCCAAAACTCTTCACCCGCAAACCCTAAACCGAAGCCCGAAGCCCGCACAGCTCTT